GATAGATGTAAGAATACCAGAGAAGCCACAAAATTTCCATTTCTGACCTGAAAGTTTCGAAAAACTGCAAAGATCATCTAGAAAGTATCGAGAACAGAAGGATGGATATCTTCATGGGTGTCTTGTATGTCTTGTACTGAATTTGGCATCGTAAAAATCCTTTGTAGGTTCTGGCCTGCGGTAGGAAGCCGTAATCGTGAAAGATCGACGATTAGGACAAATATTCTAGAATCCATTCATCGTCGCAGTCCCATGGCTGTCAAGGATATTGTGTTACTAACAACTTAACAAGACAGGGGCCATATACATTATTAGTCTGAAGGAAGCAGATGAATTTTTTACAAATGGGCATGATCTCCCACGCCTCTTGTTTCAACTGGAGCTGAAATCCAATGAAAAGAGAACCCACTGCAGACGACTGCAGATTTGTACGCCTATTTTGGGCATGAGAATCAGATATGCTGGAATTGTATTAGTTCAATATAAAAGACAACTTTTGGAGGCTGAAATGAATTTTGAAATTTCATTTCTTTGGATCCTTGTTCTCTTTGCTCAGGCTTATTCTCCTTGTCCATGTGGCCGGAGATTTTTCTCGGTCGTTGTAACCATTTAGATGTTCAGAAAGGTATTCAGTTGTCGCTTGAAGCTTCTAGATGGTACTCTAGGCTCTAGCATGAGACTATAGGGTGTTGCCACCAAAAAATCCGATGATTAGTTGTCGAAGTAGATTAATTAGATTGGTATTGATTGACCCGTATCGTATTGCAATAGTGTGTCATCATCGTGGCTTCGGAGGCCTAAGCCCGTAGCATAACATGCCATGTGGGAAAACTAGAAGGGGTAGATCGACCAGCAAGGACCATCGGCTATTTGAGCATTTATGTCCTTATATCCGGTGACAATTGGTAAATCGTATATGTCGATATAGCTTCGTAAAGACAGTCGGTGTAGTATGTTGTATGATTATTGATGTTGCATTTTTCTTCGTTTGAAGTTTTACTGTATTGTACTGCTAAGTGCTGACTGCGACGAAGTTCTCCCCATATTATATAGTGGACATAATGCACGAGTAGGAAAGCTGCATCCATCTTCCACTTTTTAAAGCCAGTCAAAGTCCATCAATCCACCAAAACCCCACGAATAGGCGGTGATCCGGTCGTCGCTTCCATTTCATATTGAAAAAGAAATCGTTAGATCTCGCTGAATCTCGCTGAACTTGGTAATTTGGTCGGATGATATCGATTATTGCCATTACCTACCTAGTATAATAATATAATTGAGCTGAACTGGAAACATCCGAGGTGACCCTTCCGAGAATGACGTTTTGGTGTTTTTGGATTGTACAGTAGATCTAAGAGTACTGTAGTAGCGACAAGAGACCTGAACGGGATTGAAAAAGTAATATTATAACGCTTTTCTTCATATGTAGTTCGTCCTGTATCTAGAAATGTGATGGATTCGATCGAATACGATACTCAACGGTTTTAACTTCCCCACCAAGACATATCTCCCGTTCAGATTGTTCCTGACGATAGGTACCCACGAGCAAAACACGCTTTTCATGCTTCATGCAACCCCATAGAATGGTTCAAGGTGTGAATCCGTGTGATGTATGGTGGTCGCCGTGGCTGTCTGCATGCACTTGTAATACTTGAATTAACCTATAAATAAATCAGTTAATGTTTTATGTGCACATACAAGATGTAGTAATATCATGCACTCTTTTGATTGAGCAGGTCTTCAAATCATCGGCGATCAGATGAAGTATATTGTAGCTATATTCAATTACGGGGACAATAAAATGAATAACAGAAAGATATTACATACAAGTGTGGTTATCTGCAACCCACCACCGATATCAGTGTACTCCGTAGGAACAATACGAAGAGTACAAGTATAGTAATACCCGCAAATTCTTACAAAAGGTGATAGTTTCCGGGTGTGGGAATCCGAGAGCTTGGATGAGGGAATGAGGGGATCGGACTATGAAGAAAGATAGCTTAGAAGGATCTCCAGAAGTTGTGCTCGCTTGTATCAATATTAGATTGGAGGGTTTCGGACAGGCTCCAGAGTGATGTGGATGCCAATTTTTGATTCCAGTCATCATGATTAGGTATGTTCCATTTACCAGATGATAATTGTGCATTTGTGTGCAGCAATAAGTGCGACATGACTATACTGAATGCAGGCAAAATGATGTACAGTACAGGTGTATTGCATGAAATTTAAACCAGGAAAAAGGGAAATCCCACGTGTGAAGGTATGCTTTTACTACAAAAATCATGGCTGTACTACCACACCGGGCACACCCATACCCAGTGCCATAAAAACACGACCCAACTTCATGAACCCTGGGCAGAGAACCCAGAAATTAGAAGATCATGATTGCTTAAATTGATCGACAGCAACAAATGGTCAAGGCTTCGGCCTTTATGGAGAATTTGAAGATCGATCCTATTGAAATGTCTGGCGAGGTTAGGGGTTATTTGCGATCCATGCAGAATTTTGATATCCAGAACGCCAGCCGCTGACAGAGGGCCGGGTGTGCTTCTCTCGTAGTCATAGAGTCATAGAATTTCGTAGGAACTGAATAGGGAAACACGAGAGCAGATAAAATAAATTGACGAGGAGGAGTAGACAATCTGGAGGGTAGAAAGGCCAAAACCTATTTACCTATTTCATGCTTTTCGTGATACCTGAACTGAGATTGGGTTGTTGTTTTGGTACCGGATCTAAGAGAAAGATGTAAGAAAAAATACAAGGAAATATTCTAATATTCTGGAGAACACAAATACTTCCGAATGATACCTAGGTATTACTTCATTCGGATCTTGGTACTACAAAGAAGTTCAAGGGTCAAGGGGGTTGTATAGAGAAGGTGATTTTAATGCGTATGTGTGGAGAGGTAAATCCACGATAGTGCGGAACTAAACGTACATCTTCGAGACTCGAAATCCTCGGACCTGGATTTCATTGATTATTTAACAAGGAGGATCGATGCATCTCGCAAATCATCGTCACTCGGCGTTATAAGGAGAAGGAATGCAACCGTATGAGAATATCAACCGCTGTCAAATATTCTTTAAGTAGCATATTCATCGCTTGAGGAAAATAGTAATTGGGACCTACATATACATAATTTTAGTTCTACAACTTAGGCTCATCAGAGCCAATTCAATTTTATTGATGTGGCTGCACACTAACGTTTGATAAGGCAATACTATCGAACAAGAGAGCTTGTGAGCTCGCCGATTCGCACGAGTCGTCAGCACCAAATATGGACTCTCGGGCACATTGGTTGTTGACAGGTACTTCAGGGTATTAAGCGGCGGTACCCGCCAACTGTTAGCTCTTGACAGCCAGCTTCAAAACCAGTCCCTAAGTGATTTTAGTTATAGGGGATGACCATTTTTGCAATTAGTGAATTAGTGAACCAGACAAAAAACAGGAAAATACCTTGTTCATTGAATATCCGAGAAACCTATGGTATGCACAACAAACCATTTTGATGAACTTCTAATCCACCCCAGCGAGCCAGAGAAAGCCCACTTTCTACATCATACCAATATATAGCCAATCTACGCATGGTAGATCCCAAAAACAATTACCGAACAAATGGGTCATTCTTCTTTGTTGCTAAGGCTCGCAATCGCTTCCGAGTCTTGTTGCATCCCCCAAATGATCCAAATCTCACCGGGACTGACCCCCATCATATCATGGTATACTTCCACCCTAAGGTCTTTCCGTATCGAGCCACTATGAGCATTGTCTCTCTTGGACACTATTAGTCCTAATGTTATAACGTCTTATGAGTGTGCCATATGCTTTAGCGGGCTAAGATAACCACCAGCGTGCAGTAGAATACGGACTACCTAGGTAGGTAGGACATCAGAATAGAAGCGATGGCGCCAGAAGAACAAGGGTACCAGGATACTAGGTACATAGAAGGCATGCTAGGGCTGTAGATGGAGCTGGAGCTGACAGGCATTCATTTTGGTCCGGGTTGTTAATATCCAGGGGGTGGAGCTGTTGGTGTCGTCGCATGTCTCTAGAAAGATTTGTTGATCCTTTTGTATAGGTAGGTATGCTTCCTGGAGAAAGCTTCCTCATCTTCCTTGCCACACAATTGTTAGACTCATCAAATTTCTTTCCTTTTTCCACATTTCTAACTGGAACTCCTGTTGGCCACCAAACTTGCTGTTGAAGAATTGAAATCATCGTTTATAACTTCCAATATCTCAACGTCCAACCCTAAAAAATAGGATTTTTAGACTGTCCTGCTGTGGCGTGAAGTCCTCTTCTCTTATTCGTCGTCGAGGCTGTTAAAGTCCCACGGGCTGCTTATCCCCCCCCAAGAAGCATTGTTTCTCTCCGCTTGGGATTACCTGGCACAAGTCAGTCCTTTCTACCACACCTTAAGCCACAGACTCTCTTCGCTTTACCTATCCTCCTGCATCTTACATACTTGAAGATCAATAATAATGGGCTCGTGAAGTCTCTGGAATCGATGCGCAACTGGATTCAATGAATTTCTTGCCGCTCGACTGCCTCCATACCAGTCTTCGACGCCAATAAAAAGTGCTGCAGCCTGCTTGATCCGACCTCACCAAACACTGTTCCGCCGTCAGCTCGCTTCTTCAATGCATCGGATTCAATCCACCTTCGGGGTATCTTTCAACTGAATTCGAAAAGCATCAAGTAGTGAATGTTTGAAAAGTTATCTTGAAAAATTATTCTCTGATCTTCCAGAAATACAAGTTTTGCTTCCTGGTAATAAATTACCGGAGTCGTGGAAAGTTTTAGCGATAAAGAGTTTTTCAAAAGAGATATACACTGGCGCTCAACATTATACGCGAAAATAGCCTCAATTAATGGCAGTCTCTGTTCAAGATTCATATTACTCCAAGTCCGGTCTCTGGGGCATGGCTGATCTACCACACCACAACTTCTCAAGAGGAAATCCTAATCAAATCACTTCGATGGCCTATCCGTATCATACAATGAACCCAGGTCTCGACCAAAGCATGATGCCTAGCTACGATCATCATATGGAACAAATTAAATCCCACTCACCTTTGCATGGACAAGGACCATCTCCATCTAACAGAGACCTTGAAGCTTCTTCTTTGTCAAAGTCAACAAAATGCTCTAAAGCAAAACGATCAATGTCAACTCCAAACATCAGAACTTCTTCCAATTCTGATGCAGCTGCTTTGGCTTTGGTTAATGACAAGAGAAGAAATAAGTTGGGTTATCATAGAACTTCGGTAGCTTGTGGTAAGCTTTTTTTTTCGTCCATCGAAGATAGAAACGATCTATCTTTTATGACATATTGGATAATTGAGTGAATATACTAACTTACCGCTCATAGGTCACTGTCGTCGGCGCAAAATCAGATGCATACCAGCTCCAGCAGATCCTCAGAATCGATGCTCAAACTGCATTAGATTGAAAAAGGAATGCAACTTCTATCCCGTTGATCAGCAACCTAAGCCAGAACCCAAGCGTCGAGGTTCTAAAGCCCAAAGTGGAACTGGAGGAGCCTCTCAATCATCTTCACCATCAATTCCATCTGGCCAGCTACCCGATATGCAGCCTAGCCTTCCGTACATCTTAAACATACCATCGATCCAGAACCTAGGAGGAGCTCAGACTAAAAAGGAGAGGACCGAGACCTTTTCTCCCGAGACCAAGGGTATGTGGTAGCAATTTCCATGGAGTTCTCTACTAACAGCCCCCTAGTGATAACTTCATCGCGAAGCTTTGAATACAATGGTGGGCACACCGCTTGGATGGCTCCAGAAGCTTCTCCAGGTACCAAAAATACAGCGGACATACCTGGAAATTACTGGTCCGCCAACTCACATGAATCTCCAATGACTCCAGGTTTCTCACCTTACACCACCCCCAATATGCACATGCCCAATGCTCAGAACTGGCAAAGGAAAGGCCATCATGGTCAACCCGAAGCCAATCCAAGAGAGCCGGAATGGCCTGCACCACAGCGATCTGTTTCGTATGGCAACTTAGAAGGAATGCATACCAGCAATCAACACCCCGCTTATGGCCTCCCGCATCCAACAGAATCATATGCTTCTGTGAGAACCCGTGCTCATAACGGTGCCATGTACCCACCCAATATTACAACTACGCATCCACACTCAGCAGCTGAAATTTCATCCGCATCAACAATCGGAACAGCCTATACACATTCTGCAACTCCAGTTTCCGCCGGATCCTACCCAGCCTGGAATCGACCGTATGCTGGCTGTTATGCGAAGGTCTCACCTGCAATCGATACATACGCTTCATGGAATGACGCTCAAGGAGGCCAGCGTATTGTGGAAGAAGAAGAAAGCGTCGGAGAATATGGCGGATATGGCAATTCTGGAGGCGGGGTCTATTATGCTGGCCAGCCACATGCAGCATGCCGTTAGCGGAGCAAGGAATACATTTTGATCGAACAACAGCACATCACGGATCACGGTTACGTTTTTGGACTATTGGCGCATGGTATTTGATTATTCTGCCGGCATATATCGACACTTGCGAATTTTGCGATTGGGACAGAATGTGAGCGGGGGAAAGCGATGGCGATAAGGGTCTTTGGTCAGCACGATTGTAAATGCATCCTCAACCGAAGACAACATCGACAAGACGAAAGCGAAAGCGAAAGCGCCTTTTTTGTATATAGTGAACGCAGAAAGTTTGGAAATTTCTTTAGTCGGAGCAACTGGGATATTACGATGCGAAACGATATGAAATGGATTGGATTGGAGATTGGGGTTTTCTATAATTTTTAGGAGGAAAAAGAGGTAGCGTTTTTTGCTTTTTGGAAATATCAAAGGGATGCCATCTAGGTAATCTCATGATGGTGGGGGTTTTCATGAAACTACTTTAGACAAACAATTGGAAAGGGAAAGACATCATCAAAAGGCAGGGATTGAGTAGATAGCTTCATCTCTGCTCATTTTATATAAGCAAACTGCTGATATATAGCGAAAGTTAGTATACCACAAATTCTTTAAGCTTTTAATAATCAAAAGAAACAAAAAGATTCACTTTTAGACATATATATGTGAGGTGTATTGAAATTTGTCATAATCTACTCGAGTAGCTTGACTAAGCAATCACCTAATTTATGCCTCAGGCACAAAACGTATTTTCAAATGTCGTGCTCTAACCTCCACCCCATTCGCTCTGGAGTTCTTCAATAGACAAATCGATTGATGTAACACGGGACAAAGCCTCCACCAAATACCCTTGTTAGTATATATACATTACTTACGGCATGTCTTCTCACGGATTGGGCCGATTCGTCGGTATGTTCGAGGTATTTCTCCAGTCTCATCTACCTCTGCCGGTGCTAAAGCAATTTTTACGACTCCTATCTCACCATGAATTCCCTGCTAAATGTCCTGGAGCCCCATCCGGAAGATAGACTACATTTACGCTTACATCGAGCGCGATCCGTCATTCTAACGGCTCAAGAGTTTGTTCCCTTTTGTTCTCTCCAGCCTTGAATGTGGGATGCGTTGTTGTGTGTGCGTATGCACTGGCTGATTGTTCTGGAAAACACACAGACTTGTGGAAATTCGAGCCGCGCAGAGAACCTTCGAGGGAGCATATATACGGACCGCTTTGGGACAGTTTAGTTTCGCATTGGTAGTATTGAAGATATTTACGGCCGAATTTTACAGTATTGGGGCATTATTTGCGACATATGGAGCCGGGGTTCTAATGGTCAGCTTATATAGGAGGTATGAGGGCAACAGGCAATTCTTCAGCGAAATCGATGGGGACGGTATGGGCAGGAAGAAATTTAGGACGAGTGGGAATGCCGTGGTCGTTTTGACGACGCTGAGTCTTGTGGCTTATGTTTTACTGATTGGATTGACCATAAGGCTCGAGACCTAAACCCCCGGAGGAGCTGACTATATGTGCGGGACAAACAATGGAATATATATACCTTACGGTACAGGGGCCGTTTTGGGACCTGGAGACGAGATGGGAGAGGAGGGCAAGGAGATGCTGAAGGCCCGTTAAGATTCGGCATCATTCAAGACAATTTCCAAACAACAGAAGCAGACGCGACATCACCCTTCAATTCTATTCCACGTCAGTAGCGAAAGTCGCTGTTTCGATATTTCAAGAAGGTGGTCATATACACCACCTCGGACCTTCCGTGATGGGCGTATTGAAGGTAAACCCACCGAATGGCTTGTTCCGAATACGATCAGACAAACAATCAAAATTTACAGCTTATGATTGTCCTAATACCATTTTCGGAAGCACACAATCGTATCTAGCGGATTTTCAATCTGATAAGCATAATCTTGAGTTAGCTTGCCCGTATCTTTTCTTCCAGGTCCAGGCGACAGGTGTCAAGAACGGATTTTCAGACGATCATAACTAGGGCATTATGCTTCAAAGTTTTACACGTAATCTCGATGCATGAAGTCTTTAACGGTGGTGAGAACCTCGGTGCCAGACGGAGTTTATTCTTAGCTGGCTAGTGGCGGGAATATCAGTCAATAAGCTCAGCCTTTGACCGCTGAATCAGGAGCTTTGGAGAAAGAATTCTCTTGGAACAACACGCGTCAGCTTCTAACAGGTCTCACCGAAAACGAGAGGGGTGGGGTGATAGCCAAATTCGTCCACACTTCATACCTGATTTGTTTCGACTGTACGATTGTTGTTCCTGGATCATCTTAGCTTTCGAGAAGACTAATCCGAATAGCGCAAGCACGATAGTCATACCCGAACACACTAAGCACGAACTTGCATCTATGATCAGTGTCGGATGCGATTACACATCTCTTGCGAAAGCATCATTAGACCGTTCCTTCTTGAGTTCATTCTCGTCTGGTACCTCTTTTGGGGGATTTTCGGCCAGGCTGCGATCTCGACCCAGCCCTCATGGCTCTTTTCGTATATTTCCGAGTTGCTTTAATCTTTATACTCGAGTAGTGCCGGAGGACCGGGAATCTTGGTGAGAAGTGAGACACCAAAAATTGGGCCTTGAATTACTATTTGTTTCATCCTGATTGACATCTGCGGTCATATACGAATTAAGGTAGATGAATCCTAGAACCGTTTGACGTAATTCCCTCACTGGGAACTGCAACATGTTGCAAAGTGTCATCCTGAGATGACAATAATTCGCAGCCATCAAAATTGGAACACTGCACTTGATTTGCAAGCACGAGGGTACGGTACACGACTAACGCACGATAACTCCTTCGAATTTTACACAGAGCTCGCTTAGGTAATTTTATAGACATTAAGGCACATGAACATGAGACATTTTATTCACGTTGACGATCACGATCGATAGGTCGTGGTGCCAGCATGGACTGGAAGTACTGGCAAAAGAATTCTTGAGTATCGTCTGAATGATGCATGGAATACTCACTTCATGCAAGTTTTCATGCACGTCAAATTACCAAAAACGCTGAAATGGGTGGGGTATCGGACTGTCCCGTCAGATTCGCTGCAGTAGCAATCCTGATATGCATGTATATCTGGAGGTTTATTATATTCTTGCCTGTACCGGTCTTGTGCTTTACACGCAGTTCAAAATCAACATCAATCAAATATTCAGTTGAATATCGTTTTACTTTATATCAAAAGTTCCTATTCATAACCCAATTTGCTTGCTACAATATCTAGAGCCGGCTTATTCGCATTTGCCGGGTCTAGCGAGACATTCTGGTCGATACTCGCCATGATAGACCACTAGACCAATAATTTAAGTTAATGATCATAGCCTTTAGTTTGCACATTTGAAATTGCAGCACCGCATTTCTCTTTCTTTTCTCTCCTCAGTTGGCGGTCGGTTGAAGTACCTTTATGCTGCCAATTTGCGGCTTTCCCAGGCCAGGCCCAGTATCATTTTCTTGCATGATTGTTACACAGCAGAAGTAAGGATTGACTGTCAGGTCGTCTTTCTCGCAGACTGCATCCTGCCTGACTGCTTTCCTTGTCCCGTAAATTTCAACAACGCGTCTTGACCATCCAACGTTCTTCCGAGAAAATCAGTCCCCGAACTCAATCGCCGAAGGTATATATCATGCAGGCTGAGTGCCGGTGGGAGCAGTCTTCTCATATAGCATGAATGTCGGCATTCGATTTGACTATTTCACATTGTACTAAATGTGTTCTCATATGGTTCTTCGCGATATATCTCTTCGGTCTCAAAGATCAAATCCGAAGGTTGTTGGAGCTTCACAAAGCAAAGCAGAAAAAAGGGAAGTTTGACGGAGCAAGATGAGTATGCCAACATTCAATTTAGGTAAACGTATGCTTTGAGACTAAATATTTTACAGGAAAAGATATATCACATTAGATGCATACAGCATTGAACTTATCGGACAAACCAAATTTCGTTCTAAATCGACCAATTGTCCTGGGACTCTGTCTAAGCCTCGGAAGACGAAGGTTCTTTCAATATTTGACCGATGTATGATCACTGAGATCCTACACTTATTTGGAATACTGACTGGAAGCCTTACGACAGTACCAAAACTCTCCCTACTAGGAGGTCTTGTGGCAGAGTCTGATCCCGATTGCCTATCTTGGGTATGCAGACTTCCACATAGACTGTCCCGTGCCCCGCGAGGTCCGTTTACGGCGTTTATGGAAACTGCTTGGAGATAGGGTAACTGGTTATGGCTTGTCCAAAGAGGGTGGTAAGATCCGGGTGAACAAAAGTCTTGGTCACTAATTACAGAGACAGAAAGCTATCACCAGTCAGAGAGCACGCCTGGTCGCCCATACTGCCGTTTATGGTGATATTTGACACCAAAAATCAACGTCTAATGCAAATTGAACGAGTTGAGATGTTCACCAGAGACTTTGATCAACATGACAAACCTGTCACCAAAGCTCCGCTGTCGTATTATTGGGCATTGCTCTATCGGTATTGAATTTCCAAAGGAGACAACAAATTTTAATTCAAAGAAGTCGAACATTTTGAAAGATTTGAAAGACTCATTGACCACACTGTAGCACTTTCGTTCCGACGACGACATCTTCAAGAAAGTTTAGGGCTCACACATCCACGTGATCGAGATCGCCACAGATTTTGGTGTTGCCGCACAAAAGTTCTGCAAGCTTGAGGCATGTAATACCTAAACTTTAATTCACACTCGACTGTCACAACATGTTCCTTACTTTTTTTTAATGTCCCGAGAAGCTCTTTGTATACAATAGCAATATATAAATCGGGGACCTTATGATATGGTCGCCGAACTTCGCTCAAGGTATATCAATCTTCGACCAATCAGCATCATTCTGGCGCAAACTGACGCTTGTCGCAAGCGCTTGCTTTGCGGCGAAGTGTTATTGAAATCGACAATTGCATCGTTGCGACTCGCAAGCTTCTCCCCCCACTGATAAGCGCTTATGCTTAAGTTAACGATCAAACGCAGGAACGATGATACCTTGGTACTCAATACTCGTTGGTATCGTGGACCTTGACCTCGTTTAAATCTTGTGCACCCTCGTACTACACTATTGATGACCAATCCAGCAAGGCTGAGATTTCATCATCATGAGTTATGTCCCTTGGCTCAGTATTCACTACGATATCGGCACTGCATGCAAAGCTGAGATATTTCTGAAACGTCGTCAATCATAGTCGAAGAAGACACGGCCCAGAGGAGGTTCTTCAGCGTTGTGGAACCATCTGTTCGAAGAGGCGTTCTGATCTTCAATCAAAGTGCTTTTGAGTGTGTAATATTGACGTTTCGAAGTTGTCACACATACAATCTATATCTCGATCCCTGGGATCAATAGTTTGTTCATGGGTCTAAGTCTACAACCAACAAAATATACTCAGCGACTAGGGTGATGAATTGTGAATCGATCACGATGTTCTTCAAACATTTTTAAGGTGCCATTTTTCACAGTTAAAATTGGAATTATTTCCTTCAGCTGGTCAGATCTTTTGCGCTCGGTTCGTTCAAATTCTTCACGCGGTTGACAAATGGAAGAGGTAGAATGGAATGTCACCCGTTGAAAATCCAGATCGTCAGGTCGGGGTACGAGATCGCGGTCTGTCCAATATTGATTGCGTTGGTCCACACTATAGTTGGTGCTCACAGGAAACATGTCAATTGGACAAATGGCAGCCAGTGACGGACGCCGCCTAGAAATTTCGTGGTAGCGGGTATATCCGCTAAAGAAACCACTTTGTGATAGGCACCATCCAAAGCTGGTGCACAGCCATTCCAAGATCGGTGGACTACCCTTTTGGGACATGCAATTGCTATCGGTTCTATTTACACACGGCACGTCAGCGTCTTTTCCTACCATGGCTATGGGCTTATTCCCTTTGGTACAGTAAGCATTTAGATTTTACTGAAGACAACGTCCCAGCTGCTTACAGGTTCAAAACGATGGATTTAAACAGTACGTTAGATGACTAATACTAGCCCTACAAGCTCGCTCCAATAGCTTCTTGAGACGTTGAGCCTACCCCAACATGGCCAGCATTCTTCCTTTCTGGTAATCATCTGGAATGTTCACGACTGTGGTTCCGAGTTAAGGAATTGCCAATAACAGCTTACTTAGATCTCTACCAGGTCACAGGCTATCATTAGCCTGAGCGCTTTCTCCCTTTAACCCCGTCTTGCTCCGAGTCCTTCGAATTTGTACATATAGAAATGGGCAATTACTATCGGTTGTTTTTAGTAATTGTCTATACATAAACCCGAATTTTCAAAAATTTAACACTATGGCATACAATCGGCGGGTCGAGGATTTTAGAGAAGCAGAATATCCTATGATGAGAGGTGAGTTGACACAAAGATTCCGAGCTGATAGAACTCTCAATCGCTAAATATGGACAGGGAAAACATATCTTGACCATGCGGGCACAAGTAAGACGTTACCACATTACTCCTGTTGTCCCATTGATTCTAGGCCATGCATTTCAATGCCCGGGCTTTCTGCGTTGCAAAGGGCTAGACTCTTTCTCATGGCTTTATAGGACTATCTACATGACGGGATGCTAATCATCATTTGTTTAGCTATATACGCGAAGTCTCTGATCGAAAGATTTTCCAGTGAGATGGTGGGAAATCTCTTTGGCAATCCACACTCGGCCTCAGCTCCAGCGCAACTCTCTGGTTCTTTGGTGGACTCTGTACGGGAAAAGGCATTAAGGTTTCTTGGAGCCGATCCTGCGCATTTTGATCTCGTATTTACCGCAAATGCTACCGCAGCGATTAAACTAGTCGCAGAAAGCTTTCGAGACCTTGCGCTAGAGAGCTCAACGTCAGGATCATTTTGGTATGGCTATCATAAAGATGCCCATACAAGTCTGGTCGGTCCACGAGAGCACACAAATGGACAGCATCACTGCTTCGCCGGCGACCAGGAGGTGGAAGACTGGTTACTCGGTTACAGGACTCTTCCGGGGAGAAGGGAAGATGATGAAACACCAGGAATCTTTGCATTTCCTGGGCAATCGAACATGACCGGGCGTCGATTACCACTCTCTTGGAGTAGAAAATTACGAAATTCCACCCTCATCTCACACCAGAATACCTACTCCCTCTTGGATGCTGCAGGCCTCGCGACAACAACTCAGCTTGACTTCAGTGATCCGGATGCAGCTCCTGACTTTACTGTCCTTTCATTTTACAAAATATTTGGCTTCCCCGATCTAGGAGCTCTAATAGTGCGCAGAAAGTCGGCGCATATCTTGACTTGGCGTAGATATTTTGGCGGCGGCACAGTGTCATCTCTGACAGTACTTCACGAAGCATCTTACCACCGAAAAGATGCCACGATTCATGATGGCTTAGAGGATGGCACATTACCATTCCATTCAATCATTGCACTTGGATGTGCGATCGATGTGCATCATGATCTTTATGATTCTATGGCGAACATATCCAAGCATACAATGTTTCTCATCCGGCGCCTCTACGAGGGCCTATCAACTATTCGTCATTCGAACGGCCGGCCTGTGTGCGAAATTTACAATGACGCAACGAACACCCACCCTTATACCGACGCCACTACCCAGGGTGCTACCATAGCATTCAATATTCTGCGTCCGGACGGCACTTACGTCTCGTATCTGAGTGTAGAAGAATTAGCCAACCAGAAAGATATATACGTAAGAGCCGGGGGACTTTGCAATCCTGGAGGCATCGCAAGTTATCTCAAGGTAGCACCCTGGCACTTCAAGCGAGCGTGGTCAGCCGGCCATCGCTGTAGCGAATCTGACAACACGGAGATTATCAACGGTAAGCCTACAGGCGTGGTTCGAGCCAGTTTAGGAGCCATGTCGATCATTTCCGATGTCGATACTCTTCTTGCATTCATGCTGGAAACGTTTGTTGAAGACCTGGATCTGGCTGGACAAATTGTCGTCATCACAGCGCAGGCGCCGAGTAATAAGTCACCCACGGTCAGGAGTCAGGGGGGCGTTAGCCCAGTTGTCGTAAAGGTTCCTGGCAATTGGCCTATCAGAAAGCTTCTTCCCATCGACACGGATTCAAAAGAGGACCCGAGGGGCCGGCCGCCACGACGATATAACATGTACGACTATCAGATTAATTGCGACAGACCACGGACAAGTCATTCAACAACGTACCATTCACCAGCGCATCACCTTTCAACCGGATCAAATGATAGCGCAATAGTAATGCCGGCAACGGCAGTGAAGTATTGGGACGATATCAAAAGAGGGGGTCATGAAACGTGGCCCGAATGTCGCGCAAGAAGACATGAGCATGAGCATGAGCATGAACCTGAGAAAGAAAAAACAAAATCGGAGTCACGGCCGACGGAAGAAAAGGGGAAAAGACCGGAAAAGACGTTATCGAAAGCCAAAAGTTTTTGGGGGCTGAATAAGGTTGTCAAGGGCAGAAGCAAGGGGTGATGATCGTCCTTGGTTGCATTGCATTTCGGGGCCCGGCTCCCGAACACTTGGAACGAACGATCAATTGAAAAATATGGAGAAGGCAGGCGCTTAGGTTTTTAGATGGGGGTGAGATGATATGTTGTGATTTCTACATGTATGTACATGGTCGTGTCGTGGCAACTTGTTGTGTTATACGTTGGGTTGCTGTTGCTATTGCTGTGGTTGATGTAGGTAGTATGCTGCGAACGCGCAGATTGCATATTTATCATTTAATATGCATGGTACTGCTGGTTGGTTTGAGTTTTTATTGCATACAGAGTATGCTGCATACAGTGCATACACTCAATATATATTTCTTAGCATTAAGCGCCTTCAATGATTTTTGCGCTTTATATCATATAACCGTTTGATAATGTACTGGGAGAGCATGTCTGTACGACGTATAACAAAATCTCTATTTTTATCGTACAGCGTGCGTACACAAATGGGGAAAGGGGGAAACGGCCAATCGTTTCACATGGGTGATTCTTTACATGCATATCTATATACACAGTAGATATAATACAGTTCATACAGTAACATAATATATAGTTGACTATGTGCTGCACGGTATTCTAGATTCAGTTTCCTGCGTATTTTATCGCTTCTGCTTCTGGTTTTCGTACATGTATGTGCCTTTGAAGGGGGCTTGGCTTGAGAGGTAAGGTTTAGGTTGCTGATGCTTATGATGTACTGTACCTGTATAATATGTACGAGTACTTGTACATATGCCATCGCGGTTTATGGGTTTGTGGGTTTGTGTATACATTGCATAGGCGAAATGTAAATGCCATGTGACAAGAATGAGACAAAAATGCGGGGTAAATAAAGCAATCTTACTCGTATATCCCTCTCAATCCCATTTTCCAATCCCATTTTCCAATCCCATTTTCCATTTCGAATCCCCATAACCAAGAAAAGAAAAAAGAAAGAAAAATATCTCTCACAAATCACAAATCGACAATCTACAACCCCCAGCCCCGAGATTCCCGACCCGCACACGGCCTGCGCTTGAGACAACGGTCTCTGAATATCCTTTCCACAACCAGCTTCCATTACCACTGCACATACGCATTCGGCCATTAGATATACGAGTTTGGTATTCCAAGATTTCTCATGCGTCCCATGCACACCTGGCCATCAGGCACGCCCACCCAACCAAGCAATGCTAATATCTACCCAACTAGCTGCCAATCCCGGCGGAGATACCGTAAGTAAGTTATCCCTTGATGAAAATCGTATGGTGTGGATAATTGTCATGCTATGGTATGTATGCACTCTATTTACGCGTCCAGGGTATCATTAGATGATTAGAACCATGTGGTAAGCTGACCGTGGTATCAATATCATACATATCATATCATATTTTATCATATCATACTCATAGACTACCGTATGTATGTATATGCATTGTGCATCGCATGCAGCGTACCCACCGGTAAGAGAGTAGTTACCGCCACCCAATCGGTCGGGCGTGGTGATACCAGATTGGGCAATACGCACATGGCGATGCAACACATGATGAAGTGGAAAGTGCATGCGGATTAAGTTGATGTTTCAATATTCTAGATGGAGTTTCCATGTTTGCCATCGTATATTTCCATACCGGTATTTCTGAGGTTTTTCGTTTTTCCTGCGCGTTTGGCGGGGAATGGAATTGAAATGAATGTCCAATGGTGGGATAGCAGATCCGAGGGGCTGTTTTACTCTGTTTTACTACCTACCTATGGATTCATTTATCTCACGAGACGATATAGGTGAGGACTCTCGGACTTGGGGGTCGTATGCCATGCCATATATTGCTCGTATGGTTGGATTGGATGTGGATGGAACCGTGATGGCGAATACGTTTCTTAACACATGATCTAATATGATAAATGATAAATTCGGCATTACTATTTACTATACCACGTCATATTCAATCCAATACCACAATTGGTCTTGTGACAAATTCCTGCTTTGAAATCTAGAATTCTTTGCCTTGCCAGGGGCTTGCTTGCCTTGTCTTACCTTGCCTTCCAGAAGAAAGATAATGGAAGAACCAGACGGAGCTGGATTCGCGAACGGGGAAAGGAGTTGAATCCGATCCCAGTTTGCCAGTTTGTTGGACGTCGGAATGTACATCACACTTGACATAAACTACAAGTGATATACCTATGTCTATTGTAGGCGAAGTTCCAGTACCCTTGCAATTCCTCCCCAAGTCCCAACTTGTACTCGTGTAGATCTACGAGTAGAAGTGTGCAGGGTGAAATTGATCAACGCAAGGAATTCCAAAGTATGATTTTCATTGCATGAAAATACGTCACGACTATTTGGCACTGTACGAGTATAGACGTCACTCATGTATATGCTTCAATTGTAAAGATTATGAGCATCATTGCTGGTATTTGTAAAAAGAAAAACTAAATCTAGTAGATCTAGATTTTCCCTATCTACCAAATGCAAATTATTTGAAGAGACATCTGAAAATGAAATAGAGTATCCCACCCGACTCTCATGCCCATGCTCAAAACAATGTGTAAAAAAGCAATGCGTATGAGCAGGAATAAGCCTCAAGAAATAAAATCCATGAACAAATCCCCCTAGATCTCAAAGCAAAGCTGCCCATCCGTGAAGATTCCCCCCAAAGTATCTCCCTCCATCCATCCATAATCCCCCCAGTTCAAAAACCCCACAAACAAACTCCCATTTCCCAGCACAAGCCCCAGTACAAGCCCTCTCAACCCAACATAACAGCACCCATAGCCGCAAAAGCCATAGCCATAGCAGCAAAAGCAGGAATATTCAAGTCAGTACCCGCACTGCATGGGTTTTGGTAAGGTGAAGACCCACAGTCATTTTGTCGGGTTTCCAGATGTTCGGCGCCGTCGAGTTGGATGAGGTTGATGGGTCCGTCACGCTTTGAGGGGAGTTGGGCGATGTTGATGGGTGGATCTTGAGCGGTGCGAGCGGTGCGAGTGCGGATGGTTTTGTATTTGCTGGTTTGGCGGTTGCTGAGTTCGATGAGGTTAATTGGACCGTCACGCTTGGGAAGCTGGATCAAGTCAATGGGACCATCGCGCTTTTCAGGAAGCTGAACAAGGTTGATTGGAGAATCTTGACGCTTTTCAGGAAGTTGGATTAAGTCGATGGGGGAATCTTGTCGCTTCTCAGGAAGCGGGATCAGATCGATAGGACCATCACGCTTCTTGTTGCTAAGCTCAACGAGATTGATGGAGGAATCTTGTCGCTTCTCAGGAAGTTGGATGAGATCGATAGGACCATCACGCTTCTTATTGCTAAGCTCAACAAGATTGATTGGAGAATCTTGAGCAGCACGAGCATACTCAACAGCTACATCCATCGGTGCAGTAACAGGAGTTGGCGCCGCAACACAAAGGGCTGCAAAAGCGAAGAGCGAAAGCTGGGTGATGCTTGACGAACGCATTTTGAAGAATTTTGAAAGATTTTGAAGAACGGAGATGCTTGAATTGTGCAAGTGTGTGTTTGTGAATCTGTGTTGTTGTTATTGTTGTAATAGAAGTGGAAGAATTAAGCTAGGCTCTGATTGTGGGTTGTTATTTTTGAGGAAAGGGAGAAGAGATCGAGGGGTGTGAGAAGAGGGTTTTATGGAGATTGAGAAGTTGAGAAATTGTTTTAGGTCCGAAGATCGGAAGATAGGCTCGTTTGTAGTATTAATATTGATGAAGCATGAACTGATTGAGTTGAGGGAAAACGTGGGCTGAGATGGCCAACAAGGTAAGTAGATTTTGAGAATTATCGGCTCATGAAGGTGAGAAGAGAGCTGGTAATGACGACGATGATTATCGTTGTTGGGAGGAACCTCATGCCGACTATGATGAGGTGAATTGGACGATAAGGATCTGGAGAGATCTATCTAGGTATCTTGTTGCTGTTGAGGGAGGTAAGGAGATCACACGATAGATAGTATGACTATATCAGTAGAAGATTGGTTAATTCAACCAGATTCACTTTTGACCCTTTGTTGTTCAATCTGCCCCTATGTCACTTTGAGAACATTGGCACACTGACAGTCATCATAGTGAGGTCCTCAACTGTCTGCCGATCTAATAAGCAGACATTAATCCATCAACCAGCAGTATTTCAATATACTTCAAATGGAACAGGCAACGGAACCCTTTACTCAATGAAATATAAGCTTTCGATATTCTTTACTCTTTGCAGTAGTCACATCGGGATCCTCTACGGATTCTTGTATCATCTAGGAATAACTGACATTGGATAGCACTTAAGGTATAGAACATGACGGTGATGGTAGTTTGGTGATACTCGAGTAGATGAGGCAAAGTGTTTCCATTTATGGACTCCTGCATCGCTCCCAAGGGCCTACAGTAGTTTTAAACTCGCAGTTATACAATTATGAGAGTAAAGTGATATAAATGACGATATTGGTAGTTTGCTGGTAGGTGAGGCAAAGTGTTTCCATTTGTGGACTCCTGCATCCCTCCAATGGGCCTGCAGTAGGTTTGAACTTGCAGCTATATCAACTATGAGAAGTACAGGGTAAATAACATGTTTCAAACAATGAACATGATTGACTTGATGAGGTATATGATGATGATCGAAGAGTTTAGCTATATACTCTTGAGGAAGTATCAATGGGTGGGGACTAGCAGTGCCGGCAACATAGTGGAAGTCATGTATAACATAGACATAGAAACATCAAGACGTCTCAATGAGGGCATAGAATTGCTTCGGCAGTGTCAGAGAATTTCCTCAGCTGATAACCTCTGCAACGCAAAGAGATGCGGTAAAGTTGGGAAACCTACATACAGCCCGTATTCAAATTGCCATATATAACCCCAAACAGACGCAGTCGAGATTCATATGCAGTTCCAGAGGCGTGACTGGATCTGCCAAATTTGGTCCTCTCATGGCGATCCATAGGAACTTCATAGGGTCAATGATCAATAATAATTATCATTCCATTTCAACCCACTCCTTCAAACCACTCCTTCATACAAGTTCCATCAATCAAGTGGCTCAAAACAACGAACACCATACGCCATTCCAGCAATTCCAAAACTCTATGCCCATCTCATATATACCTTCCGTGGTTGCTAGTCGTCCATTAAGAAAGAGAAATAGCTCCTCTTCGATTGTCGCGGAAATGTAGGTAAGCTTGGAAACCGCAGCCAACGATAAAAAGCTATCAATTGGCACACGCATTAGCTTGGATATCAAGGAAGAAACGATTCATATGTATGGCTATCTGATTCCGGATCCTTGAGGAGTTGATCAAAACATACCGCATAAACAACTACAGCAGAAAAAACCGTAGCGGCAACCGCAGCCCCATCTTTGGGGTCTTCCTTTCCACCCAAGAGTGCGTGATTACCGCTCTGGAAGAGAGCGCCGATAATGGAGAGTATGACAATGGCAAAAACCGAGATGACAATACTGTAAAGTGGTTAGAGATTGATGATGGCGAAAGGCTAGACAGTAACTGGGCTGGGCAAACGAACCAAGACCAAGCTTGCATTACTCCTACGACGGGCTTCATCTTGATGTTGAGTTATCCGTCGTTACGAGCGAGTATGTGCGAACGAAGGGGAATGAACTTTGCGGAGCTTTTGATAAGGTTGTGAGGTTGATGGTTGGTTAGTAGTTGGTGGTTGGATTATGATGGAATTGAAGCTATCGAGAAGTCGGCAAGTCGGAGCTTAGAAATAAGACTTGGCACTTGGCACTCTCTCACGAAGCTTCAGTCTTCAGTCTTCCCATGGGAACTTATCAAAAATTTCCACAAAATACCAACAATTATGATTTATTCTTTTCTGGTTGTCATAATGTAGTTCCTCGACGACAACTTTTATGATATTGGTGCTTGAGAGACGTCATTCATCACGAGGGTATATAAATGTCTGTTTGCAGGTCAAAACTTCGAAGCACCGAGGACTCCTTTACTCCTTTATCTGGATTCTCCATCGTGACATATTTTGCTGGGGATTAAAGATTTTCATGATGTCTGATTCTGTGTTTCTTTGTCCTCTCTAATCCACTTCCTACAGAAGCATCATCCTTCTATTCGAGTATCGGCAGGCTCACAAATATGGCTATCTTCACAAACTGTTACTAGACTTTTAATAGGCAAACCTTCTAGGACGTTTTGGGCACACAAGTGGTTGTCCTTGAAATTTTGGGATACTACACTATTCCACGATGGAAGATGGAAACCTAGGTTAGAGGACGAAGACAGTCCATCCAGGTAGGTAGGAGAAAATTACACGACTTCATCTCAAAATTCGATCATATGGTCGCCACCAGTATATCAGTTATATTGCTTTAAGGGAAGTTGACTAGACGAAGTCCAATGGCATCGTCTTGCCGAAAGAATTCGCAAATATGGTGCACTCCGGCAACGATTCAGTTGCCACTTTTCTCACTTCCGGGGAAGAAGTTAATGCTAAGAACCTCGCCAACAGTTGTATTTATATTCAGCCAAAATCACCGACCACTTACCTCTGCATGACCGGTCTGATTCCTTTGGATAAACAACATATGCAGATCTTGGCCAAGCTTTCTGTCAAAAAGTTCGAACTGAATCAATTGATGGACACGGACTTTTCGAAAGATTGACCCTCGAACAATAATTTGAACGAACGGATGCCAAGGCTTCCGTGGTATACCGTATATCATTCGTATTCTGCAATACGCTCAGATATAGGGTTCGTTTGTGAAACGCTGCCTCTATCTCGTTGTATCGAAAAACTAATGGCGGGTGACTCGGCAATAGGCTAACCGGCATCTCCAGAACTTTCCTTGAGTCAAACTTTGGTAACTCTTGGTTACTTGATGAGGACTACGAGGATACATGTAATACAGTACAGAATTCATTCGCTAGTATTGGCGGCAACATATGCGGTCATCTACTATGAATACATTCACTACTGCGCCTCTTCATCTTGCATACTCGCTTGCTGTGGTATCACAGACATCCAACAGGTATCATTCCTTTAAAATTGTGTGAAACGAAACATTGAGGTTCAAGTAATACAGTGTGCACTGTGAAGGGAAATCGAAGAGGCTAGCTGGCGCGCGGTACTTGCAAACACAAAGTATTCTATTTGACTTTCCATATAATCAGGATCAACGAGCATGCTCGTCTGGCTCAAAAAAACCAATCAAAACGTTCCTTATATCCTTGTGTTTCTCGAAAAAGAGTCCCAGATGATTGATGGCAAGGTTCTAAACGCTCGGAGTTCAGGGGTTTCAACCAAACGAAAAGCTTAACCAATTAGTGCGTTAGCGTTAGCGACATATTGTCAATCCATGTCTCAAATCTTCTTTGAACCATCGAACAACATACCACCAACAAACAATTTCAACATCAATCTTCAATTTGACATCAATGCTGGAGTTGGGGATATATATCACCAACATGTTGATCCTATCTAGCCTCTTCTCTGTCGCTTAGCACCCCTTCACTCGATGTGGTCATCAACTTCAAAAGTCTGACGGCGAGGGGGCATTAGCAACAACTATGGATTGATGAAACTTGCAGAATCTTCAAGATCCGAAGTATCTACCGTATTATTCCTAAACTCTACTGAACTCGAAACAGCCTTGATATTAATAATTGATACATCGGCCCCGATCGTCCTTCTCCACCACAGTAGAAGTAGGGGAAACGGCCGTGGCTTTCCAACTGCAATTAAAGTGTTCGGAGTGCGTACAACGTCAATCCACTATTTCCAACGCTTGTACCTATAGATGTACCTATGATTTGCTGGATAAAGAATGGCGCAGCGAGTTTGCTGCAAGGCATCTGCATCTTTCATAAGTCTTGTGGCACAAGTAGGTACGACAAGGCTATTTGATATGATATTCCACTATCCTTATGTGATCTTTGAACGAGTGAATCCTTAGGATGGAACGATCCACAATCTGTGGTTCATATATATCTTTGTTCACTCCCCTCTTTGGTTGATGGTTTCCTATCCACACTCGTTCTTTTATATTACAATTTATAAATAATCCCTATTCGCTTGATTACCATTCACATTTACGTCACCTCCCTTATAAAGTGAGTCCTTTCTACAAGCCAATGTTTACACACCTTTAAATACTAACTTCTTCTCTTCAGTTCATAATATTTTATCAAGAACATCTCCTGGGGCATTTATAAACCTCACACCTACTCAGATCTAATACGCTCTACCAAGATGCTTTCAAATATGATCTCATCAGTTCTTGCGGCCACACTCCTCGGTCTTTCCCATGCGCAAACCACAACTGTTCCAGTAACTGGTACCTTGGGCAACGCAACCATCCCCGAAAACAACCCCGTCGGTCCAATCTACGTCGCCACACTTCCAGATGCGGAGTTTTTCAACCCCGATGACCCACGCGGTAACATTAAAGGTTCTGTGTCTGCGACTGGAAACCCCGATGGTATTGGTGTTCAATTCCAAGTCCAATTCTCCAATCTCCCCACCAGCGGTGGACCATTCAGTGAGTACTTTCCATCACCCCCTCCATCTCCCTACCACCCCTCACTAACACCCACCTCAGTCTACCACCTCCACGCCCACCCCGTCCCCACCGACGGAAACTGCACCGGCACCCTCGGCCACATCGACCCCTTCCTCCGCGGCGAAACCCCCTCCTGCAACCTCTCCCTCCCTCAGACCTGTCAAGTGGGCGACCTCTCCGGCAAACACGGTAAAGTAATCTCAGATCCCTTCCAAGCCTCCTTTGTCGATGAATTCGCATCGACACTACCGGGTCTGGGCTCTTTCTTCGGTAACCGCTCGTTGACGATCCACTTTGGAAACGCGACGCGCATCACCTGTGCGAATTTCACACTGTTGAATGGGGTTGTGGGGGGTGACAATGAGGGTGGGGCGTCGGCGAATAGTACGAGGGATGGCGCGAATGGAACGGCGACTAGTACGGGAGGTCCGTTGCAGATCACAGGTTCTGGTGCGGCTAGATTGGGTCTTCATGGTGGGTTGATGATGGTTGTGGGCGTTGCGTTCATGTTCGCTCTATAAGGAATCGGTTGTTCATGAGTATATCGATAACTAAAGTCAGGGATGATGGTAATGTGGAGGCAAAATGAGAGATGTGGAGTTTGGGCGTTGAATATTCCTATTATACCCGGCGCAAGCCAGTCTTATAGCTGCAATAATGCGAGGAGTGGTTACTCGAGTATATTACAAAGGTTTTTGTGAATTGGGGTGGATAAATTATAATAGCTAGCTGCCTGCTCATATGTATACGATTCAAGAATTTATTGGCGTTTCTCTATAGTAGCTTGTTTTTCATAACTATAATGCATTCACTCCTTTTCTATCCCATCTCACTTCACAAATCTTCACGATTCCTTGTCCCCTTGACAATTTCTCGAATACTTCAATGAGAAACATACTTAAAGCTATCTGTATCTGTATTTACACGTCATACCCATCCATCCAACCATCCGTCCATCCATTCATCCATCCATTGTCAACCCGCCAAGCCCAAACATACAAACATCCGAGGAACACATCCCTTGGCACTCTTGATGTTTCAGCATCGATACCCGTATTCAGTCCGTAATCTACTTTATAAAGTTGATTTGTTTCACTCTAGACTTATTATTTTAGACCGAGCGTCGATGCTTATAGAGCATGCTTTGGTTTTCTCTGGTACTAGTACTATTATACACAGTAGCGTAGTTTTTCTTGTATGCTATAGAATGATATTTGTATTTGTAACTCTATAGACTACCGATATATATAGGAAGGAAACTGTATTATGATTACTCGAGTGCATTCATTTCATTTCATCTCACGAAATTGATCAATACACAATATTCATCTCATATCTTCTATCTTATATCTTATATCTCCTCCGAATCTAACATCCTCATCATGAGGACTAGTACTCCGGATATCGACAAGAAGAAGTAGAATCAACTCAAGTAGATATAAAATAAAAAACGACTATATTTCATATACTATATTAAATCATTGTACTCGCATTAACATTTATATTCGTTGCTCTTTTCCTTTTGGCGTAAAGTATAGCTCTCTATCTCTATCTTTATATTTATACTCGAGTAATCAACTAATTCTCTTTGTGATCAAAAGGGTATAAACAGGACTCGGATTGTGTACTTAGAATCTACAAATAAAAAGCTATGTAAGGTACTAAAAGAAGGACTATATATACAGGTATTAGAAGTCATAAGGGCTAGGCCCAAAAGAATGAAAAAGTCCTAGATATACAATACCTAGGTCTAAAACTATAAAACCAGGGCTTTAAGCTATAAAAGGAAGGTCTAAAAGAGCCGTCATATCATGCTATATACGTAGTATGAGCCAGTGGACGGAAGAGAGCCGTCTGTTCCGTTACAAGTATAAAGAGTTAATAAGTACTATCTATATTAGAATTAAATAATGAAATTCTTTTCTTTTTCTTTTCTTTTTTGTAAACAAGATATTCAAAGCAAAAGTAGTAGAAAGAGTTTTTTTATTTATTTATATTATTTGCTTATAATCTTACACTCGTTGAATAGTCAAATAAGTAAATGACTAAATGTATAGGAGATATACTCGTACCAATAGAACTTAAATGTCGTTAGTGGGATATTCAATTGAATACTTTATCCAGTTTTTAAGCTATTCTACTCTTAAAGACCTTTTTTCTTCGCAGTTTCGTTATCGCGACATGTTATTGCTATCAAATCACTGAGACAATTCTGTAGATACATAATAATTATGGCATCTGAACCCGACAAGACCGTCTTCGAAGCCTTGATGAGCAACTACAAGAGAGTATTAAGAAACCACATCACTCTTGAAGAACTTATTGCAGTCTTATCCATCATTGAAGGAAAAAAGCCTTTCGACTCCCTCCGCTCTGACGGATGAAGAACGGCGTGTATTTCTCGATTTTCCTGGTGTGGATATGGAGACAGCAAATATCAGAGCGGTGACGGCTCTTTCGCGTGAGGAGTTGATTGAGAAAGCTGTTAAGGATTCGAGCAGCCTCATGCAAGAAGAAACAATACTACTACAAGACCGGTTCTGGACGCCTGGTACAGAAGCGGAGCACTCGGTGATCTGGCAAAACCTTTTGGAAACGGAAACAATCATCATGGGAGAAGAAGGAGCAGCATTTTCAGAAACTCGAAAACCCGCCTATCTTCCCGACGAGCGAGAATCGTTTTCCATCGGATCCAGAGAGGTGTGGGGGCGGCCCGCCCGCGCAAGAGAAATGCAAGCCAGTGCCATGGCTGAGGCCGCCCTGCCCGATGCCCCAGAATGGATTTGCCGGCTGTATAGAGAGGGAAAGAAGTTGTGGGGGTTTGCGGTTCTGTATGATGGGACGATGCAGGGGCTGAATGCGGAAACTCTGGACTTTTTTCAGTGTCGTTGGGAGGCTCGTGTTGAAAATGTGTTCAAGTACAATAGCTCAAAAGATATTATTGATGCGAAATGGTGGATGATTCCGTTCAATGCGCCAGGTTCTGCGGCGGTACCTTATGTGTCTGGGGCTGGGACTGCTTTAGATGCAAGCGATAGTGGCAGTCAACAAGATGGCGTGGTGCTTAGAAGCGCCTTTCGCGAGATCCTACAGAATCCTCTGCAGTATGAGCAGAGAGCGGATATCGCACCCATCACCGCGCTCGGCGAAACACGTGAGTTTGACCACTACATGGACGGACTTGCTGCTTCGGGCATCCTCACCAATACTTTTCTAGTCTTTGATCGCATATGCATGACCTCGGTTCTTGAATCCGACTACTCCATCGAAAGTATGCGGATCCGTGCCTTTGAGGCCGATTATCCTGTGCCGGGGAAAATATACGCAGAAGGGTATCAGGGGTACACGTGGGTGAGGCTAGACCAGTTGGTATATTATTTCTATGAGTTGAGGTTGATGAAAGCAGATAAGGTAGGTATGGATGAGATATGGCAAGCTGCACAGCAGAGTCTGAACACTGCGTTTGTCAGTATGGATCCTGAGGAAGCAGGCAATTGGACACGGTCGAATCCGATGGCTGGGTTTGAGCGTGACAGTATTCTGGGAAAGAGAAAGTATGCTAAGAAATAATCGTTGAAATATCCTTTACAGTAAGATGTGGGCAATTGGCAAGATATTGAAATGTAATGAATGCATTTGCTATCTTGAGCTAGGATCTCCAATTCACAATAGAAATGGCTTTAGATATCTCCACTTTCTCATTTTATGCATTAAACCCTATTATTTCACATCTCGATCTCATTCTCTCAACACTCTGCTCCAACTGCCAACTTATTCTGACTTGTAGAAACCCAATATAGCTCTTCTCTTTTGAATAGCAGACACGATTCTATCTGTAAACTACAATAGTTAAGCTTACCTTTCTTGTTCAGTTCTAGCTATAACGTGGTTTATCAGTGCATCGCGCATATCAGTGCCTCGCGCACTTTTTCACTACTCAATCATTTCAAAATATTATTCAATAATCACAACATATAAAATTAATTGAAACTATTCAGAATCTGATAAATTAGAGTCTTCTAAATCCTTCTGACAAGTTTGTATATTATAATTAGTTTTACTATAAGAGCCACAACGATGTAAAGTTGATTGTTCCCCATTTGAATTACCCCTCTTAAAGTATTCGTCATGTTGAATCTGATTATCTATATTGGTCTGTAATATAATATCATATCCATCTTGTATACTAAATGTTCCTCCTTAACAAATTCGACTCTTTTTAGCTCTACAACATTTACTCAATACCTCATTTGCTTTTCGAAAAGTACAAATCTCAGCACTCATAAGTGTTATCTCATGAGCTAATATCTCTGTACCCTTAGCTAAAACTACAATTGTTTCAAATATAGGTGTAGGAGAGCTTTCTTGATGTTGTGCAATTCGATTTTTAACTAAGATTGATTGCGAAAGAGCATTGTTCGAGTTGTGAGATATTTAAGAAACCCAAGGATCAAGCTTTATAAAAAAAAATCTAGTAAGTGTAGGTGTTCGTAATTTGATATCTAGCTTAGAAATAATAGCTTGAGGATCAAAGGGTATTAATCCAGCTCCGCGGAATCCAGATAATCCATTTTGAACAGTTATTGATTGTAGGTATACTGCTTTGAAGGCTATAAGAAATTCGATCTTGGTGATATAGTTGATATAAGCCTTAATATATTCCTCAATTTGTTGATTATATATTTGTTTTAAAACATTAAAATATCCAACATCGAATAATTGAATAATATACAAAGAATGAGAAAGTAATGAAAGAGTTATAATATTATGTTCTTTGCAATATTCTTGAAATGCAATTGATTCGTAGTTTTTGTGTCTGTCTAATACTAACATTCGATAATTACCTTGTTTTTGAGCAATAGTATGCTTATCGAAGTGTTTAATCCACTCTAAACCTGTTTCATTGTTTGTTTATCTATTATTAGTGACTTTAATCATTCAATCAAGTAAAAGATCATTTTTAGTATATCAACTCAAGAAATGATTTTTGCCCTTAATCACTAAAAATAAAGGAATGCTTTCTTCTATACCATTGATACATACAATCGCTATAGCCCATTCTCGATTACCTAACTGTATTGCTTTGTTTCTGCTATATCGTTCAGTATTAGTTATAACCATCCTAGAGCATATAATACCCATCATAAAGTCTGTTTTGTTGAAATTATAGAAATCGCAATCGAGAATACTGTATTTCGCCTATATATTCGATACTAATCGAAACCATCCTTCAATAAGCTTTGAATCTTCGTAAAAAGCTTTTTGGAAATCATAAATGTAATTAAAATATATCTTTAATTCTGGTTGGCGTTATACAAATCGATACACCCAAAACTTTTTAATATAATATACTCCACGAGTATCAAGAATATTATTCGTTATATCTTCTACACTACTCAATCGAGAGACAAATCCTTATATATCCATATCGAGGATATATTGAAGAATTACTTTTTTTTCTAATTTAATTAATTTTTGAGTTGATGATCGACATTCCTATAGCGGGGTTAAACCGTTCATTCAATTCCGAAATGTTGTTTCAGGGATATTATAGAGTTTAGCAGCACTCCAGCAACTCATTTTTTTTGATTTATTAATAGCTTCAATAGCTAAGATAACCCGAGCTTCTTTTGAAGTGTTATTCATTGTTGATTGTTGATTAAACGCGTGTTGAATTGAAGAGTTGCAAAATAGTGAAAAAGTGCGCGAGGCACTGATATGCGCGACGCACTGATAAACCACGTTATACTTCTTTTGCTTCTTTTGTTTTGATAAGAGAAAAGAGATACTCGAATATAAGATATTTTCTAACATCACATACCTAGAAACGGGACGTGTGGAGAAGCGAGACATTTTCCATCCTCTCTTCCTTATTTCACGCGTTTATTCACCATATAATGGACCAACAGTGATTCAATTATAATCAGTTCGAAGCTAAGATCCAGCAGGCTACACAAAGTCCTTTAAAAATAAAGAATTTAACTCTACAAGAAATGCTGCCCACCTTTTCGAAGTTTCATATACAACATTTTCAAAAAGAATAGCCGGAAGGCAAAGGGTTTTGAGCTGGAATCGCAAAAAATATCAGGTAATGAACCTCGTTTATTGATTATGGACGGCCATTCAGTCATATTATAGGGAATATGATTGCTTTCTGTATTGAAGAAGATATCGACCTCCTTATCCTACAACCGAATTGCTCTCATTTACTTTAACCATTGGATGTTGGGGTGTATGGACCTATGAAGCGACAAGAAGTTGACCGATACTGAAAGTCGTTTCTTCTCATCCTCAATTCAGTCTCGTGGACCACCCAGAGTATGGTTTTCTCCCCATCATATTTCCAGGTCATCGAAATCAAAAGCACGTCTTTGATAGCCTTGACAAACTGTGGAAACCAAGTGGCCGAGAAAAAGATAATGTGTTATGTACACAATGTGCGTTACGCTGTATATTATGTCCGTTACACTTTTCAGCATTTATGTGCCAACTGCTCTATATTATAGAAGCAAAATACCTTGTTGAGGTCCTGTATCAAAGCAGTCCAATGCTCTCAAACTATTGTAAGAATGCTGCGGAGCCGTTAGACATTATTCATGTATTGGCAATGCTGTTCTCTAAACGTGTTATACATATCATAGACCTAAGTCTACTCCTAGTTTTGTATACAGTGGTATAATACTGGGGTGAAGCTGGTGATAACAAAAATATATCAACGACTAGAGTTCTAGCAGGCGGTGTTTGAGCAGCCGATGCTGCTTTTCGGTTTGTAGACATTTTTTATCGTCCAGGTTTGGACTGGGAAATGTAGTACATGATATTACAAAAGGAAAAAAGTTATGTACTAGATGACTACACGAAAACTCGTTTTTATCTACTTCGCATCATTAATGGCGCTATCGGTGGGGCGACTTGGTAGGCAAGGCAGAGTCTCCCCATCTCTCCTTCCTTTATCAATCTTTATCATCCTTTATGGTCCTCCCTCCTCCATCTACTCTATTAATGCTCCTTCATTCCCCTTCATCGATCCTTCATCAACCCTTCATCAACCCTTCTTCACCCCTCTCACCTCTTCACCTCTTCACCTCTTGCACTGACTCTCCTTAGTCAATTGTCGTCTATCACATCTTTAACCGCCAATCTATCTGCAATCATAGGGACAGAACCATCCACGAGATGGGAAGAAGCTACACAAGGTGTGAAGATAAGGCGTGAAGACAAGGCCGGAGTTGAATTAAGCATGAGGAAAGAGCGAGCAGATCACTTCCTGTTTGTTGTGGGATATGACATCCTCCCACTTCGCGATTCATTTTTACTGTCTTCCCTCAGATAAAGAAATCCAGCTCTGCCTTCACCTAAGCTAAGCGCATACACATCTCATCCACTCCATCATCGCCTTCCGCTATCGAAAGGTGTCAGCATACTACCTGTTCTATTAGTAGTCCTTAACTTGTATCTTGCATTACTCACCACTTCTCGATCATTCTTGTTTTTAGCTCCTTCAATCTAGCCAATTAAGCGAGGCCCTTCTACAATAGAATCCAGAATTGTAATTTGTTCGAAGCATCCTAGCACTGAAGCCATGTTTGCTCCGTCGCCCCATCGCCCCATCAAGCCACATAGGATCATTTATTTGCACCCTGTTTCTGCACCTTATTTTTCTAACCTGCGCCTAGACACAGAGTGACTCATTTCCGGTGTACTATTTGCAATGCCAATTCAAAGCAGGGGAGGTTTTCATCGTCAACCAATGGACCCACCACAGGACGAGACGAATGCTCAGACAACACGACTGCCAACACGACCGCCATCTCTATACAATCGGAAGGGGATGATAATACGATCACCCAGCTCTGTATAACTTGTGGAACAATGGAAAAAGATCTTGTCCAGTAATCCACTTGGAGAGAAGCGGAAGCAGGAAGAGAATACGGAAGAGGAGCCACAGCTGAAAAGGGCAAAGGTGCATAATGGGGCGTATTGTGTCCCTTGGGTATACAATGCATGTCGCGCTCTAAAGCAAAGATGCTATAATATGTTGGCTGGATCAAATAAAAGAAATGGAAATGGGAATAAAAGGGCAGGTGGAGTACAGATTGTGAACAAAATTGTTTCTCATCTAGCCTGAAAAAGTTAAAGTTGACGCATAAGTTGACGGAATGAAAATGACTGCTTTAATTTTACCATATCCTACATATCGTTGGGTGCTTTCCCTTTCCCGCATTACCCAGTCAAACATTGGGCCCTTCCAGTTTTGTAACGACAGGACTGACTTTTTCGCACGTTGTCGGAGTTGAAGAAACTCTCTATCCACCTCAAACATTATCTCCCATTATTGATCCTAGCTAGCCGACCCTTCTCTGCCTAGCTCCGCCCAATTGTCCTCCATATCTTTCTTTTCCAACCCCCCATCCCAATACCTCTCATACCTAAATTCATCCTCATTTGCTATGCCTTATCTAAGGTCGGTTCTCCAATTGTCCCAGGTCCTTGTGGCTCCTGCTCTCAACTCTACAACTCGCAAGTCGAGTCAGGCAGCCGCCTTATCGAATAGCCCCTTATTATTCTCATCGTTAACCATAGACGACAATGAATAAGAACGGCGAAGCTCCACCAACGCGTTATCAAGAAATTCCTCATTGGTCATCTTCCCACTATCCACTAGCGCTTTTTTCCCCTTCATCCTCTCCAAAGCTTCGTCATACTCGTCCAACTCCCTTACTTTCAGCGCTGCGAATGCCTCAACCTCTTCGACATTCTCAAATTCTTTCTCACGCTTCGCCCACTCAGTAGCACCGAAATGGCGGCGTAGCTGCGTGAAAGGAAAGCTTTGTTGGTCGATAAAGCCGGGTGAGAGAAGCATATGCAGCCACATAGCCCCAGAGGCTTGCGACCACTTGATAAGAGTAGAAAGCTGTCTATCTTCGTGCCCAGGCATTCGAGCCTCCTCCTCCTCTAAAACACGCATAAAAATCTCTAAGCACTTAAAGTACCGAGCGGCAACCTTAGGCTGGCCTGTCGGCTCGTCATCATTGCAGTCCCAGTCGCAGTTGATAGGTCTATCTTGGAGAAGCCACCACGGAGCTGAGCCAAACAGTTGAGCAGGTCCGATATATGACCACTCGAGGTCCACTACTCCTACAATAGTAAGGTCTTCTTTGCTCCGGACAATTAGATTTGCTAATCCGAGATCATCGCAGATCAGCTTAAACTTGCAATGGTCATACTGAGCGTTGACTAAATCAGGTGTTATAGCTTTCAGGACTTGAAACGCTACATAACTGCTTTGAGCACCATAGAAACCAGAAGTCGAGTTTGGTTGGTGAATAAGCTGCTCCCAGTCCTGCCCAACAACATACTGAAAATATTCAGTTGTTGTCGCAAAGCCTTTGCCTCGGTCACCTAGAACACATTTAATTAGTTAACGCACTCAATTGGGGGCATTAGGGAAGAAGGGAAAAGGAAGCCAAAAGCTGTACCGAAAGTATTAACTCCTCCATTTTGCAGGATGCTATGTGCCTTGAAAGTTAGCGGGCGTGTCAGTGTTGGTGCCGCTCCAGGCTTTGGCGATGGTAGGCTGCCGATTTGATCAAAGTCGAGCTGAAAGAGCTGAAGTAGATAGTTGGCCATCTGCCTATAAATAATTTCAATATCACTATCACTAATGTCCTCCTTCATGAGTCTAGTAAGCTCGGCATTTGGATCCTGGAGAAGTTCGCTGAGGCTTATACCATTAATGAAATCCATTATAATGAATGGACCTAGACCAAGCAAGTTGCTAGCCGCGGAACCCCACGCCTGGACTTTAGGAACAGGAATCGTAGTCTTGTTGTAGATAAGATTTAGGGTCGTCACCTCTATAGCCACCTTCTCGTCGCTGTAGTCGTCACAAACATTGCCCACACGAGGGAATCGAACCATCCAAGCAGTACTATCGCTAAAGACCATCTTCATACCAGCATTAAATGAGCCATGGTGAAAGGTACCTTCGAGTCGACAAGGAAGCTTGTTAGGGTGGAAAGTCGACACCCACGGGCAGAGACGGCCCAATCTATGGGTCTCGTTGATCTTATCGACCCAGAGTTCGCCCTGGATCTCATGGACAATATCGACAAGTCCGTTGGTTTCCATGATCAGAGAATGATACGAGTGTGTAAACTGGTCTGGAGGTGCGCGTGACATATGGAGAGGCTGTGAAATTGTTGCAACGCGATGCTGGTAAACTCGGTCGGTTTGGTCACGCAGGGTTAGGCGGGCTAAAATACCTTTTATAGCTTTATAAACAATTACCCCTTGCTTTATAATACGATATTTATTATAGAGTAAAATAGTAATGTTTGTGATTTAATTAATCTAGTAGTAGTTTATTGTCTTTTAAAATAATCTTATTATATTTTCTATTATTTTTAAATTTTTTGGAAATATTTAATAATTCTTTTGATTAGCCAATTAAAGATCACGTGATATTTGATCCATTTTACGATTACAATCACTATTTTGCTTTTTTATTATATATATTATAATAAATAATTATTACTTGATTTATAAAGCAGCTTAATATAGAAAGATAATACTTTATGCCTTGGCGTACAGGGGCTGTTGATGCCTCAGGCGTTAATTGTTTGGTCATCTTGTATACTCCTGGAAAGTCAGAAAATCAGAGTTGCATTCTCTTTCGGATCAGGCACTGCTGTCACACTACTAGCACCCATCCCTCTTCATTCCCCATTCCTACCATACTCCGAACTCCTGAATGTTCGTCTCACTGTCGAACCTGGCACCTACATCGATTCCAACAGTGCCATCCAAACTGCCCTCACCATCAGCCAGACCGACGTCACTACCGTCGAGAAACTGTTGTCATTTTAGAGATTGTTGATGTTCGGGAGCAAGCTACTGGCTCATCGGCCACTTGTCAATGATACAGAGGAGAGACGAGGGAGTGCGAAGAGTGTGGGGGAACAGAGGGAGGGGTTGAGGGAGATGTAGAAGTTGAATGAGGATACGATTACGAGTATAAAAGGATCATTTGGGTATTGCGTTTTTGAAGAATAGGGCGAGTCGAGAACATGAGGCATATTGAGAATGTGCGGGGCTTGGAGCTGGGGAATATGGGTGGTGATGGCGAGTGGCACGGCGAAGGAAGAAATATGGGCAAAGCGGAGGTGGTCATCGAGGGGGGGTGGGGTCTGGTACCGGATATTATGTTTAAGCATGCCTTCTGGGGAGTTGGCTTTCACAAGGAGGATCACTGTATTTTTGCTTTCCACATCGATGGAATTAGATGACTCTAGCAAACGCGTGTGCCTCAGGGCCTCATCGCCTCATCAAACTCTCGAAAATCTCGGGCATTTGACTGATTGCTTCTTCTTATCGCTTAACACGGGATTACATAACGTCGAGAGAAAGCCCCCCCCTTCATCGTCGATCAGCCTAAGAGTTTTCACGGTATGGACTTCATCGGACTATTTCCCAAATTCTCACTCATAAATGCACTAACTTCTCTCATGTTCTCCTGGAATAAAGCCCCAGTAGCTGCTTACACTGACACTCGGACTTATCTTGAAGCTGGAAAGGCTCTATGCGATTTTACAAAAACATGGTGTACTTCCCTGATCTATGGGTCAATCAAGCAGATCATGAGGCAATGTGCGTTGTCGTTTAAAACTCGATCAGCCATTAGAAATGAGGTTGGAGAAAGTCTGCACAAGACAAGATGAAGCCTTTATACCAAGGACATTTTGTGTACGAGATTCTGGTGGTTATAATGGTCACTCCTACGCCCTACAACAGATCGACGGAACACCAAATCGTCGCACCATTGAAGTGATCATTCTTGCTACTTTGGCATGCGAATCGAGTATTTGAAAGTGACCTCCCTTCCCCCGAAGCTGCCATCCGCCAATCTTAGTCAAATTTTTTTAAAGAAAGAAAACGGCTGCAAAGTAACAAAAAGAAGACATTACAAGACTAATAGGAAATAAATTTGAAGAAGGCATGGCAATAGAGAGGCCAGATAACACAAAACCGCATACAAGGCCAGCAAATCGGCCCCCAGGGTTGCATGTAGGTTCTTGAATGTCTATGTTTACCCGGAGGTGTTGCCCTTCTGTCATTGGCAACCATCAGCACAGAACAGGTTCGGGGGAGGCTTCAGCTTCTTAGAAATTGTGGGTATTGAGCACGAACAGTGGTATTTTTCTTCTCCTTAGCAGCCTTCATTTCAGTCTTCCCTGCAACCTTAGCCTCGCGTTTCTCTCGCGCCAATTTCAGATCGCCACGCTTCTTAACAGAGGAGTGGGCGGCGGCAACCACTCGTCCGACAGCGGCGCTCCCGGAGTTAATAAGCGCGGTCGTGACTTCTTTTCGAGCCTTGGGATCGATGTCAAACATCGTGGGTAGACGTAGAGTTGTGAGTTACGAGTTTGTCGTAATTCTGTTCTCGCAAAGCTGAGCGAAGGCAAGTGAATATTGATTGTATTCTAATGGCAAACAGCTCCAGTTTGGAGTTGAAGAGATTTATCGGGAGTGAATTTTAATCAAATTCAATCAAATGTCCGGCAAATTGGCTTCTTAAGTAGGAACTTTTTGACGAGGATACACCTCGCTTTTGCGGACTGAAATGGCCTGATCGACCTGCTGATGTGAACCAAGCCTTGGTTGCTGCAGGCAATCTCATCGGGCCTCCTCAATTTACTTGTGGCACCAAACAGAGAGCTATAGTCTAGGAGTACCGCTTTGTTCTGCATAATTCACAAGCCACCAACTAGGCGCTATTGGTGCCCGCACTCTCTCAAGGAAACCTTCGGTAACAACGCTTCCTGTTGCCTATTGGTGCTTGATTTCATAGGAAATCTAACAGTCACATGATGATATAATGAGTTGGGCTTTTGCCTCAAGCTCGTTAGACCTACTCCTCAGTTATTTACATAGATACCCAGTTAGAACGATAACGAAAAACACTGGTTATATCTTACTGTTAAAATCTATTCTACTGGACCTTGCAAAAAGAGAAATGGACACAATATCAAATGGCCTGAAACAAAAAGGCAAACCGGAGAAGATTACAAAATACAAATATCGTCTACTAGTAAAGAGATCAAGAATAGATCTGAGAATAAACAAAGAAAGTGTACACTGGTTCCATTCTCAATTTCTTATCACTTGTTCAATATACAAATGAAAGTGCGATCGACGTTGTCAACAGACACAAGTTTCCATTTCAACAATTCACCCGCATAAGCCCCCTTCTCTCACCTGGTGCTCAGAGAATGAGTCCAACTTCTGCAATTGGTAGGCTTCTGAAGTGATTTCGTCAGTGTTTTTAGCCGGTTTTGCTTGACGTCGGAACATCAGCCAGCGTGCAGTCCTCCAAGTATCTCAAACCACCCGCACAGGCCCCGAAACCAGATGCCCCGAAACCAGGTTTAAACCAAACTCCATCGCAACTTGAACAAGATGAAAGATTTGATGACGGGGAGCGTTTCAGGCTGGTAATGGAGGGTATATAGGTGTGAATTCCAAGAATCTGGATCCTTGAGAGATAGCTGGTAACTAAAATCAATGCATACCCATCTCCTTTCAATTTCTATTGTGAAATCAACTCCAACACTTGGGGGTTTTAGGTCGCCCACGAGCGTATTAGTGGCTGGCTAATGGGGTTTCTGGAAGTCCGGTTGATGACAATACATACAAAGGTAATTGATCTCCATCTTACGTCTGGTTTTGTGCGCTTGATAATGGAGGGTCCCAACGTGTTCGCCTGCATCGACATATACTACGGTATGTTTGGGTTTCAAGTTGGGATGCTACCAGACTACAGAATCTCACAGTAAGGATCTATTTCTTCATCCCCCCATGACGCGACTGCTGACTTCGATACCATATCTCCTTAAGTAGAGTTGTGGAGGCTTCCTGACTTTTCCTAGGAAGTCCATCCGATGATCGAGGTACACAAGTGCACAGAGGTTGTTGAGGTTTCTCAAGTCGTCTGCCTTCTCCAGTAGGAAACCTCCCTCCGGCCAGTATTGGACGTCCAGCCGTGAACATCACAGCCACAACAAGTTCCTTGACTCCGATATCGAAACCGAATCCCATAACTGGTCGTCAAACTGCTCCCTCTTCAAAGCATCCCTCCAGACCTCTACAGTGATTGCTAATCTCAAGATCGGTTTGCTTTTGCGAAGAAGTAATTAGATTTCCTGGCCAGGACAAGGTTTTGTATGATTTCTCAGCCAGATAGCGTCAAGCTGCACTACAAATTTCCTTCGCTTGTGTCGTAAAGCCGTGAGATTTAATTCGCCGTAAGCCTCCTTGTTCACAGTAGCAAGTGGTATTTCTGGTAGTCGACGTTTTAATGGAAGTTCCACGACTTCACTAATCGACTGAATGGCTTGATGCCAAATTATTAACCGAAGGTCAATAGGCAAGGTTGGATATTGTGGTAGATCATGACTTCATTCAGGAGAGTAGGTTGTGCCAAGATGATATGCAACCATTTGTTGTAGGTGACAGAGATTCCACATTTGGATTCGGAATTTGGTTGAGAGTGCGTAGAATGAGGTCCGTTGAACAAGCTGCAGACAGGGAGCGCAGACTGGCTCAGCTTTGATTTATTGGAATGGACGTAAATAAGACTTTCCATGTTGAAATAGGAAAAAGGGATTTTTTAAAATGGAGGACGCTAAAATCATTGTACACGTGATCAAGCGGGGTTAAATTTTCCCCCGGGATTAGGTATGATCGATCCATCGAGCGCAACATTAATTAATCGTCACACTTCATTCAATAAAACAACGCAAGACAACGTACTCTTCGTCAACACATCCTCCCAACAGCAATTATGTAGGTACTCTAACAAACATCTGACTAGGGACCCATTAATAGATATTAGAATCTCCGTCACAAACGCACCACTTCACTTGCCAGACTCCCAACTTACCCCGCCAACAATTGCGACCACTTCAAAGGAATAACTTGGGTCCAGCTTCTGAACATTTACCGATGTCAGCATCTGATGAGCAGTCTGCGGCCGATATAGGCACCTGTCCAGGAATATCTTCTGCCACGGCGAACGCAGCTCGAAATGGATGCCAGGCAACAGAGCGAGACGAGGGGAAACCTGTCGCCTTTCTCAGTCATAACAAAGTGACGCGAGATGCTTCAAATGAGTTTCTTCAGGTATGCTAATGGATGATGATGTTAGACTACGATGCTGACTTGATAGCGGGGTGAAAAGCAGGAACTTGCTCGAATTCTCGGCGTTACTACATCAGATGTCTTCCAGCGATTTAGAGGCTCACAACCTGGCGTCTTCAACGAATCTCAATACACATTGAAGCCTGGACGGACGGACTACGCGTACACTATACTTGCACTTGGCGACCTTTCATACGAAAATGGCTTACCTGCACTAGGAGGTGCAAAGGTTAAACACGTTTTGAAGAGTGGCGAAGCTCTACACTTTATGGGGGACTTGGAGCAGACATACGGTGCCGGTGGGGGTGGTACTTTGTTATGGTTTCATTGGAATTATATATCATGAGATCCTACACAGTCTCTGGAACATCTGGAAACAACGGATGGAGGTTTTCGCCAGCAAAATAGTCTGGGCATTGATCAAGATTCCAGAATGGATCATAGTGATATTGCAGGAATTATTCTGGTAGGCACAATGTGCCATATACAGAAATCGACCCGCCCCCTGCTTTCAATATCAGATAGTGCCACAGAGATATTAGTCTTCAAAACTTATCAAGTACAAAGATCTCGTATGCTAAGTAGCCAAGACCATCCTTTGCCAGTCTAGCCATAACCTGATTGACCCAGAAGGCCCCCCTCCGAAGAAGTTTGAGGTTCTTCTGACTCGAATCACTGATACATTGCTGCATGATGAAATCGACGTCCTGCAGGTCTGCACCGTGATGCAGTACCACGCAACACAGGGAGACCTTAAGTTACAAAAGAGAAGAAGTTGGGGTTTGCTAGGCTGCTCATCTTGTTCTCTCTTAGCTGCTGGAGTATCTCTCAGTATTTTGGGATTACCGGGATTATACCCAAAGTATCTGGTAAGCTCTACGACTCAGCGAATTTATCTTTAGCATTTCTGACTTCTATATCATAAAGGGAATTTGTTGTTATGTTTGTCTCATTGATCCCATGGACCATACTGCAAGGTTACAAGCTGACAAAGGTTAATATTGGACCTGAGTCGACTGGAGGCTTGGGAACTGGACTGAGAACCATAGAAGACATTACCGACCTGTCTGTGATGGAGCAAGAACTTCAAGTTGGCTTCAATGGCCTTGTTTACGTCCCCCGAAAAGGCGAGGAAAATATAGAGATAGCAAAAAGCGTATTAGGGAGAGCACCCAAGAAATGGACATGAATTCTGCGATGACTCGAGTAAAGCGGGCTCAGTTCTCCCAGGGAACCTTTTGAAGAACCAGTCCCAAGACTTGTTCTCTTTCTTATATGCAAAGAAGCGCTGCTAATCTATGTCTTCCCATTGAGTATTCTTGCTCGAGTTCGAACAGCCTATCTCATCACCGCTCGAAGATCCGACATCGTCGCTGTTGGACTCGGGATCACTATCACTCAATCCATTATCGTCGTTATTTATTAAACAATTTACTTTGCAATATAAGATTCCCGATATCAACGGCTCTGCTATCATGAGATCAGATGCACTTTATATTTCTGTAAATACAGCCTGCCTCTGCAGTCGACACTATCTCTATGCTGAAAAGGGTTGAGATAAGGGATACTAGATAAAGCCAGTTATAAGGGATAAACATGACTAACGATTTGAACATAAAATCATAGATCTGTTCAATATGACCAATGCTTTCAAAGAGACAAATGAGCCGATTAAAGGAAACTCCTTGCCCTTCACGGCCCTCTCGAATCATCACTGCGAAGAAGCAGCAGTGTAGAGAATGTAGAGGGAATGTGATTTCGATCAGAGTGGGTTGCACATCTCCAGATAATCCGTCGCAAATCAACTCTGAAATGTTGTTTTCTGAGGTTAAAGATGATGGGGAAGGAAGTTGAGCTACGGCACGAGGGGACATTTAAGGCTGGAGATAGTAGAAAAGTGGGAACAAGTATTTAATAGTTATTTTAGATCCGACTTTTGCAAGATATGTTCTAGGCAAGGAGGGAAATTCATGAATAATTACCCGCTTGAGAGCAATATCTAGCGTCACCGATGGTAGAATAAGCCCCCTTTACTTTGAGACCTACGTCTCGATTGAAACCTCACTTCAACATCTCACTGACATTACTCGTCTTGGACGAAGTCGAAAGGCAAGAGATAGAATCATTTGTATCGTTAGATACAAGAAAGATGATTCCTGAATAGTTACACCTTCAAAATATGAGACTTGTGATAAAGGAAGCCTGATTCGTTAAAGAGAGGTTTGAAGTTGACCTAACCAAGCACGTAACTTTCCTCGACCTCGGAGTTGTACCGACCACGGATAATGTGCCGGTCTCATCGATCAAATCCTTCGACTATCTCCGCGTTTGATGTCATCGGTTGCGTGCCAGTGAGCCCGGTAGGATTTGGTGCCATCAATGCGTCAAGTCATCGGCGTGTACTTCCGATGTTCTCCGAGAATCTAATGTCTTCACAAGGAAGAGAATGATGTTTGGAAATTGAGTATGAAGTATGAAATCGGCAATTGAAACTTCACTTGACACATTTGGTGACCGAGTAACGGTCACGGTTTTATACCCCGCACCATGTATTTCCGAATCGAATTGATGAGAGGTACGGTACAGGAAAGATTCATTTCCTCACTTGAGTGACGAAAAGAGAGAAAATGAACGAAATCTAGAAAGGAATCCGTGAAGACATTAATAGAAGATAGGATGCGATTATTACAACCATTTCTTATAATAACCAAAATCAAATTGACGAAAAAATGAATTTAGGTTAAGATGGCCCTTTCATTCTCCCAAACTTTCCTCTTACGGTACTCGTGAGGAATGTAAGAACCTTGATCTCATCCAAGAAGTGAATCTTTCCAGTAATGGGGTCCGAATTCTAGGCCTTTTGAAAATTTGTCCTCAACTCCGTTGTATATATTTTTCCATCTTGGAAAATTGTGTATTCTTTTCAAAGATTGTTCGGTGAAAAGAAAAAGATAATGCTCAGCCTTTTAGGTGGGCGAAGCACACAAAGCTCTTGTGGTCTTTGCCGCAGCAGAAACGCCATATGATTTGTGAAACGCGCTGGAAGCTGGAAGAATATAGGCAAAAGCTGCTGCGGTGAATGAAAACTTATGGAAAAAATCATGCTAGAACCTGTTGGATTGAGGCTATGTAATCGTTATTGCCGATGATGATGAAATCTTGGGATTGATAATTGGATGTGAGAGGGAGAGAAAGAAAGATCGATGAACTTCAACGAGAGCTCCCGTTATGTTTTTTGATAGATCGGGTTCGATCCAAATTGTCAAATTGTACTCGGCGGCTGTCTAATGTGATAAGCGACTTCGATGAAGGGGGCATGTCAAGAATATTTGGGCCTTGGCTAATCTTGACTCTTCTAAGCTTTACTAGATGATATCAGATAATGGGTTTTTGTCGTTCCAGAAATTGGCTGGTGGAGATTGAATTGTAACTTTTCCTCTTCTCTCCGTCTTGTAAGCGCCCTTGTGCTTATGGCCCCATCTTGAAGCCCATGTTAATGGACTTTACTTTCGCTTAAAAAGGACCAATTGATGATTGTTACCCTTGAAATCCAAGCTGCTTGAAACGAAAAGTCTATTTTCTACCAGAGTAACCTCACTTGACGGGCAGACCAACAGGTAATTGGGATTATATAGACATTTTTAATTTTTTTAAACAGGAACTCGGGAATTCATCTTCGGACGGATGAGTGGGCTTTGGAGGAAGGAAGAATAAGGTTGAGGAACTAACTACCTTTGGCATGATTGTGAATGATGCATTTATTGGCTGTGCAAAAGTGCAGAAAATACTCGATTGCTAGAAGATGAAAGAAGAGGTACAGCTACTGTACATGAGTAATTCTTACATCAAAAACCATACACAGCCGCATTCCCCGTAATGCCTACTTACCATGCTATGCCATGAAAACCAAGAAGTAGACAGCTCGGGCTGAATTGAAGCTTGATGACTTTAAAGAATGCTTGGTCTGCCTTGTCCCAGTAAACTGTTTATGGTGTTTGGTATATCCGGAGCTGTACGGAGTACCTACTATGAGAAAAAACAGTTCATGACTCTCAAATCTACCAAAATTGAAGAATTGGGGGTGCGGCATGCGGCACCTGTTTCTTTGATCCTTGAGGGAGCTTCTCGTACCTTGTATATCGTCACGGAGCATAGATTCCTGGTGAATTCCCTTGTAGACTTTAATGGTAAATGAATCAAATGATGGCACAATTGATGGTATTTGATCAGCCAAGAAAATGTGCCTTCCTGTGCGCGTTTACCACCGTTTAGTTTTGCCTTGTCCTCTACCATTCAACTTTACTTCACCTGCTCGTCTCTTCTAAGCTAATCCTTTTCCCCTGATATTTCTCTTAATATTGCTTGTATAATTATTGCTCCAGCGTCAATTTTACCGTTTGCTCGTCAATCACCAAATTTAATCGCCAACCCTTGTACCTGGGTTGGTCCCGTTCGTGCTCCCGTTTCCTTAGACCCTGTCACCTTGTTTAACTTTTAAACAAAGCGCAGAAACTAGGCAATTTATACCTTATCTGTCTAGATTAGGCTAGAGAACTAGGCTTTCCTGCTATCATTCCCCATCTCTCTGGAACAACCAACAATAAAATAACTTCAACAACTTTTTTTTATATCGCCCTTTACGACTTTGCCCCTCCATCGATGACATCGTTTGTTGGTTCATGCAGAAATCTAACATAGTATCTATCTTACACTCAATTATATACAAAGCCATTGTCCCACCACTACTTCCATCACTACCATTACCACCACCTTTCTCTTTGGATTGGATTTTCCATCATTGGAAATACTGCTGTACCGAATACTGCACTGCTTATCTTTGCCTTAGCGCCTAAACGTTAATTATTCTAGCTTTTGAAGCCTGTCCTGTCGATTTGGTACCACACCCCCCTCCCCCCCAGTTCCCGAAGAAGAGTTTCTCTCACCCCTCCAACTCCTCTTTTGGTCGTTCATCCCCATCCCTTTTTATCCCATCCCATCTTACAGGAGCGCCTGCATTTGTTCTCTGTCAGCTCACCACCATCACCCATATTTTTATCTTTTCTCACGAATAGAACACCTTCCTCTTCCCAATTCATTTTACCCATACGAACATCATATACCCCCAAACTTCCAGCATTCCGACTTTACTTCTCCCTTTCCTCTTCTACATTGCTACGACACTTGTATCATCCACTTCACCTCACCTCAATCGCAGATGTGACGTGCATATTAGACCTGCAACACCGATCTCCGAGGCTGCAACATGATCAATACCTTGCTCATTATTGTTGACCACACCTGTAGCTGATTAGGCCTACAATCAAAAGACCACAGCTTTTTACACAAATCATACCCCCAAGAAATACATAGCCTCCTACATTCTCACACGTTATGTCTTCATACACTTCCGTCTCATCACATTCAGTCGACGCTCAAGCTCAACACTCGCAAGAAGAGGCCGACTTGCTCTCCCTGAACACACATCACATATACAACCCACAATTTGACCCTACTCTCCTGTCTCCATACAATCAACCGCACACATACAGTAATTCTCCAAGTCCATACGACATTGGCAGTACACCAGTCGAAAGTCTATCCGAATACAGCAACTTTGGTAGCGACTATAGCGATTTCGAGGACGGATTCTTTACAGTGGACCTCGACGCTGGCGTACAGCGAATAGATTCACTTCCCTCAAGCCTCACAACATACCCGACAGATACATATACAAACGTTATACAGGAGAGATCTACAATCATCGAAAGCCAAAAATCATCAGAAGCTCCAACAGCTTCAACCTATCCTCTTAGCCCCAAGGATACAAGTATTCCAAACACACCATCTCCCAGAAGTGTAGTAGATGGCAAAGTCCACTCAATCATAACACATCACGAAATAGAAATCGACAACGAACTAAGTCAATCGGGATTTCCTTTCCCTGAATTTACAACGACACTCAATGCACTGCAACTGACACCAGACAACAGCGGCAGCAGTCACAATAGCGCCGAAGGTGTTGAGCCAACCAGCATGCCTTTTCGCACCCATAGTCCGCATGTAACCGTTTCGCATTGGGCTGAAGAACAATCGTCGACTCGGCGTACTTATGCGCCGGATCAGAATCAATATGGGGAGCAGATAAATACCAATTCGAATAACTATCAATATCCATCCCAAAACTTTGGCCAGGGCTCGAGACCGACCGCATCGCGGAATGACGAAGGGTTGTGGATACCAAATTATACAACAGGTCAGACTGGACTGGACCCTGAGAGTCGAAAAATGATCTTAGATACCGAAATCCCCAATTTGAAGGAACAAGAAGAGCACCGCCATGTCAATGGCACGAACATACAGGTGCAACTCTGGCGCCAGAGAGGCAATTCAACTAGCGATCCAAATGTACCGAGATCCAGAGATTCGACTTATGCTGTACAAGCTGAGCAGGCTGGGGTTAATCTGGCGCCAGTAGACGATGCCGCAAGTATCAGAGAAAACAGATTTCTCGATGGGCAAGTCTATTACAATATCAAAGGCGAATCTCCGACCGATGTGGATCTAAGATTGATGAGCCAGCCCCGTCAATTCAACGATGCTCCCGCATTACCATATATGACAGTCACCGACTTTCAAGCACCATCTACGGCAAACGATGCCATCCAAAAGTGGAATGGGAATGCAGATACCATCTCAATGATGTCACGTGCAGCAACTTGGGGCACGCGACGAAATAGTGAATCAAGTTTGAATGATTATGAAGCCGTTGCTAATGGTAGCTTTCTCAAGAAACTATCAATCAAGTCAGAGAAGAAAGCATCAGGGCTATGGCCTAGCTTTTCGAGCTTGGGACAACGCGCCGTGACTCGTGTGAGAAGTAATAGCAACTTGAGTAAGAGAGCTCGCAGCTCCTCAAACGTGCAAGATACCACGACAGAGATGAACTCAAAGCAGAACAACTCAAATAGTCTAGCGCCGCCCCCGAGAACCTCCAGCTTTGGTAAATCTAAGAAGCCAACACCAAGTCTCAACACCGCATTAGCGGCAATGACTGGAACGGTAGCTGCCGTCGGTACAAGCGCACATCATCCTCCGCATACTCGCAATGGCTCTTCGAGCGCAGCATCTCCCAAAAGCCCTCTTCTAAATATACCTTTCCTTAGCCGGAGTAGAAGTAAGAGCGATCTGTCGGTTCGAGAAGGCGGATCTGCCACTTCCGTGTCTGCAATTGGTGAACTCTGGAAAAGGCAGGGTGGCCCACCCGTTCCAACTTTGGCTCCTCAATCATCAGTTGAGCCCGAGTCTGCCATTTCCACCATCAGATACTACCCAGAGCCAACTGACCAGGATGAAGAGGGGGAAGAGGATGATGAGCAAGGCGATGAAGGTGACATTAAAATGGAACATGCACAATCAGAACCAATCATACCTACCTACGAAGGGTTCAAAGAGCACGTACGGCGGCTGAATCCAGATATGAATTCAAAGTTCAATTGGCTTGTCAGTCGCATTGCTCGTCAGCAAGAAATTCGATACAAGCATCTACTAAATCAACGGGTCGAACATATGCAAGCCATCGTAAATCGCAACTGTTCAGCTGGACCACATTGCATTGCACTGGGCGGAAGTGCTACATTATTTAACGCCAAGGGAAAAGCTCGGGAGAATGAGCGGAGCGCTGGCGGGTTGCAGCTTGTCACAGACTTTTCCGATGATTCAAATCCTGGTGATGGTGCTCTTACAAGCGATACTTTCCCCAGAGGTGTTCCATTGCCGCCAACTCGGAATCTTCCCGCACATTTTGAATGTCAATTGTGTTTCAAAGCTAAGAAGTTCTACAAACCTTCCGATTGGACGAAGCATGTCCACGAAGATGTTCAACCATTCACTTGTACTTATGACAAGTGTAGGGAGTCAAAATCTTTCAAACGGAAAGCCGACTGGGTTCGCCATGAGAATGAGCGACATAGGCATTTGGAGTGGTGGACTTGTCAAGTAGATGATTGCAGACATCAATGTTTTCGAAAAGACAATTTTCTGCAGCATCTAGTTCGTGAGCATAAGTTACCAGAGCCCAAACAAAAGACAAAAGCAGCTATCAAGAAGGCGAAAAATACTGAGCTAGCCTGGGGCATGCTGGAAAGATGCCACCACGAAACGGAAAAGAAGCCACAGGACGAGCCGTGCAGATTCTGCGGAAAAGCTTTCACCACTTGGAAAAAGCTTACTGTTCATTTGGCAAAACATATGGAGCACATCAGTCTACCTGTTCTTCAACTTGTTGAACAGAAGAATGTTGATGCTGATACGATAATCAGCCCAGTTGAACAAAATCTTACTCCAATAACTCCAATTGGCAGAAGCAAATTAGAAGACTCACGTTCCTACGGCATGGGAAATATTTCACCCAACATCCCTATGGTCCCTCAGTTCAGCGCTGGCTTCCACCAACCTGCATTCTATTCAACTTCGGGCCCTTCAACCACATACGGCATGCAAAACTCGATGACGCACACCTCAATAGGACAAGATGTCCCAAATGACCAGTTTCCAATGTTTTCCAATGCGTATAATGTTCAGCAGATGAATCAGTCACGCCAGTTTGGTTCGATGGACTCTGCTAACCTTGGCAGCATGCATCATACACCGGCCTACAATTCTATCGATACCGACTTTGTCAACAGTAAATTTGATCAATCCCACTCTGCTTTTGGTGCAATCGATACTAGCTTCAACCAAAATAAGGTTGACCAACCTCGCTCTGCGTTTGGTTCTATCGGATCGAATACCTATCAGATGCAATCCAATCAGAACTTCAACCACACACCTCACTCTGCTATCGATTTCTCGATGGGTCAATCTTTCGTCACGACCTCCCCTCCGGTGTCAGCATATCAAGCTCCACATATGCTAGACATGACGGATACCAATACCTTTGGCTTTGATTCCTTGACTGTCGGGCCCATGACCAATTTTCAACAAGTACCGATGAGTCGTGCTCAAAGTAGCTCTTCTTCCTACGGTCAATCTCCTCAAAATATGCAGCATTCTCCCCAGAACATGCAATATTACGGCCACCAATGATGATCCAGAATATCTTTTGGCATATATGACGTCTAAGCTTTATGGAGTTTTTGTCCTTTTGGGTTTGGGATTTTGGGGCGACTTATATCCCATCATGAATTGTTCTTTGCATATACCATTTTCTTTTGTCATATAGATACCACGACAGACATGTCTTCCTCTTCTTCTTGTTTTTTGGTTGCTATTCTGTGGTGGAAATTGGTATTGTTGATGTGGGTGAAATGTTACGGAATAGAAATAGATGGGTGGCGTATTATTTCCTCAATATTTAGGATCAATAATGGAAATTTATTCTATTTTATGATATATTTGTTTTTAACTTGTAAAGTAAATCTCGACGCCTTTTCTAGTCTATGATTAATCATCCCTGATTCGAACTAGCGCTAGTGCAAAAAAATCGCTTCAAGTTGCCTCCCGCCCACTTCACTCGCCCACTCACTCGATTATGATTCATCATCCGGGCCGGCAGTGAATAAATGGGTGCGCGCTAGTGGAAGTCCATATCGTTCTGGGCTTGAGGGATGGGCAGTCCATCGTCAGTCTATCGTCAGTCCGTCGTCTTGGGAGTTGATCACGCTTGTGCTTATTTGGCTTAGGGCTCCGTTTGGAACTCCTCCTCGTCTTTTGCTGATCTTGTGAGTTGGGTTTGGGGGAAAGATGTATGAATGTGAGTGAGTGGGAGTGTGAGTGGGAATGTGAGTGTGAGTGGGAATGTGAGTGGGAGTGGGTGATGATAAGGTTTGTTAGGTGATATGATGGGTGATGTGCTGGGTGTGTTTTTGATGATGATAATCTTGTGGATTTGGATTGGGGTATATGGGTTGGGAGGAATAAAGTAAGGTGTGAGAGGAGGAAGGTGTGAGGGTAGAATTAAATGGAATAAGGTGTAAGATATAAGTTGAAGGACGGGTGGGCTTTTTTGGTTTGGGTTTGATCGATGTGTGTCTGGCTCTGCGGATATGTTGGTGGGTGTAAAGGGGTTCGTTGTGTTATTGTCATGGGTGGAGGGGGGTTTGTGAAGTATAGATGGATGGATAGGTAGGATTTTGGGAAGGGTTGGCATCTGAATCCTCACACCTATTGTTGAAAGGCCACTACAAGTTCGAGGACAGGTCGTTGCACTTTATGAAGATAGTTCATGTTGGGTTTGGGGGGGGGGGGGGTTGGATTGGTGGGGGATGGGGGATGTGGGGTGTGAGATCTGGAGTGTGAAATCTTCCTTAGGGGCTAAGGAGGGCGGGGAGCGGGGGTTATCACCTGGATGACCGGTAGATCCAAAGTTGGACTTGTGGTTTGTAAGTTGAGTTGAGTTGAAGATCCTCTAAGTAGAAATCGCTGCCTTGATATCCGCATTATCCTCCACTTTAGGCTTAGGGGCCAAGAGTATAGTGCAATCGAGTTTGAGGGGTAGAATTAGTTGGGGAAGTTATAACCTTCATACATAACAAGTTGGACTTGACTGGTTGAATATTTTCTTAGTGGAGATATATTCCTTGGAATTAACGTTATCCGTCATGCTGTCTACAATGTAGATCATGCACGTCATGAACAACTGTATCTGGGGCAATAGCATTATTTAAGATCACTAGCCACATCCCTGCATTTCAGTACACACATAAATATCTCCAGATTCTCCCTCGAGGGTGTTGACCAGTACCCGCTTATTTTTAAATCAAATTTGATCAAGATTTTATTGTCAATATGTCAAACGTCGTTGCTACCGGGCAAGAAGTTGCTCCCGGGAAAGAAGTTACCCCCGAGGCTCCCGTCTCCTGGTTGGAGGTAATCAAATGTTCTTTTCCTGCTTGTGGTGGTCTGCTCTTTGGTTATGATGCCGGCTACATCAACGGATGTCTTGGAAGTAAGTTCTCTCGTCTTGTCTCTCCTGTTTGCCCCAGTTTTACGTCCCTTTACTCGAATGCCCTGTCTTCTCTCCGTGTATCATTTCTTTAAACAATATATATCTATATATATTAACCATCTCGTAACAACAGTGGACTATTTTAAGTACGCATATGGCGAGCCTTCCACCGATCCCTTGGGTTTCATGGGCCGCATGTACCCCACCTGGGGTAAAGCTGTCATTGTTTCTCTCCTCTCTGTCGGTACCTTTCTCGGAGCGCTCATCTCTGGCTACTCTTCTGACCACTTCGGTCGTCGCAACACTATTCTCATCGGTTGCATGATCTACTGTCTCGGTGTCATTCTCCAAGTGGTTCATCCCAACATTGGTCTCCTGGCTGCCGGTCGTACCGTCGCTGGTTTCGGCATCGGTTTCGTATCTGCTAATATCGTTGCCTTCCAAACTGAGATCTGCCCCAAGAAGATCCGAGGTCCTTGCATCAGTGTGTACCAATTTGGTATCACAATTGGTCTACTCATTGCTTCAGGTGTCAATCAGGGAACCAAAGATATCAAGAGCAATGCCTCTTTCCAGATTCCCATTGGCTTGCAATTCATCTTTGCGTTCATGCTAGCTGTGGGCTTACTTTTGTGGCTTCCTGAATCCCCGAGATGGTTCATTTCTAAGGGGAGAACGGATGAGGCCAGGGCGGCTTTGTGCAGGATTCGTGGACGCAGCAACGGTGATTTATATTTGGAAACCGAATTTGATACTTTGGTTGCGGAGACTAGGGATGAGCTCAATGCATCCAATGGTGGCTGGAGAGATTGTTTCACTGGAGGTTTCCATTTTGGTAGCAACCTCTTTAGAACTTTCATCGGTACAACGGTACAAATGATGCAACAATTGAGTAAGTACAATCTACTTTAAACATGATTGGGATAAGATCACTGACCAATTTTATAGCCGGTGTCAATTTCATTTTTTACTATGGTACTACATACTTCGCACAAATCGGACTGACCAGTGTTTTCCTCCTGGCTACAATTACAAACATCGGTAAGTAACCTGCATATATGCATACCTTCCCCTCTTCATCTCCTCCCCACAAACCGCCTAACACAACCCAGTAAACGTCTGTGCAACCCCCGTATCCTTCTGGACCATCGAGCACCTCGGTCGCCGTCCCCTCCTCATATATGGAGGCATGTTCATGACCGTCTGCGAATTCATCATCGCCATCGTGGGAACCGTCCTCGCCACCAACGGCACCGCTCAAATCGTGCTCTTCGTCTTCGTCTGTTTCCACATCGTCGGTTTCGCCAGTACATGGGGACCCTGCGGCTGGGCCGTCTCGGGCGAGATGTTCCCGCTGCCCATTCGTGGCCGCGGCATCGCTCTCAGCACCGCTAATAACTGGCTGTGGAATTTCGTCATTGCCATGGTCACGCCGTATTTGGTGGGCGAAGATAATGCTAATTTAAAGGCGAAGGTGTTTTATATCTTCGGCGCTACCTGTGCGTTATCGACGGCCTTTGCCTATTTCTGCATCTATGAGACGAAGGGCTTGTCCCTGGAACAGATTGACGATATGTGTGCGGATGAGAAGGCTAAGAATCCAAGACATAGTGCGAGGTTTGCGGAGGGTGCGCGCGGACAGGCGAGTGGGACGGATGCTGAGGAGCGTAGGCTGTCGCAGAGGCAGAGTGGACGGAGTGGGAGGAGTGTTGCGAAGAATTACTAATTAGATAGTTGAGAAAAGGAGGTCGTGATTCCCTGTTTGGTTTTAGGTGTTGGGTGTTGGTGGTGGAAAATATATTCATGTAATCAATATTTGTTACTTTGTTAATGTCTAGTTCTTAGGAATGAGGGGGAAGCTGAGGGAAACAAATACTATATATATTTTTTTATAATCATCGCTTTTGATGTGGTGGAAACATGTAACTTTTATGAGAATTATTGGTTAAATATAATCTTCAAGTGATTGTCATGCAAACCTCTGTTGAATTAATATCTCAACGTATTCTAATTTGTGACCTCCCTCTTCTTCTCTACCTTCTCACAACTTCCAACCTTTTCATTTTCTCAATATACCAGCCTCCAAGTCTTCATATCCATTCTATCAACCACATATTAATACATGATATATATGCTTTTCACACACCTTCACGCACTCCTCTTGTACCAATTCTTCCGAATCGTGTACGAGTACTTAGAACTTACTTACTTACTGTGCTAGATATCTATCCATCTCATCCAAATCATCCTATCCAGTATCCACAAACTGTCTTTACACACACACACACACACACACACACTCTCTCTCTCTCTCTCTCTCTCTCTCTGCTGCGAAGACCTACTAAGCCCAGCGATCCCCACCCAAACAATCCCAATTCCAATCTCCCTCTACTCGAGTAAAGTATACAACAAGAATCAATCTCAAGCTGAAGCTGAAGCTCAAGCCAGTCTGTAACTACAACTACAAATCTAACTTATTTATGTTTATGTTTATATATTTATATATATCTATATTAGTGCGCGCAGATCAGATCAGTATGTTTAAATTTGCGAAGAGCGGTTAACCATCTACATTTCATAAACCTTGAGTTTTCTTGGGTGGATGGCTGGGCTACCTACTACAGGGTTTGGGAAGGATGTTTATGTTTGATGTTGATATCGATGTTGATGGTTTGTACCGATATCAATGTTGATATTCAATGAATGAATGAATGAATGAATGAATATCTCTAGGTTGAAAAGATCAACAGCTGTGATTATGCCAGGTGATGCGGGGATTGGATGGAAAGAATATACCACTGATGAGGCATCTTCATCATTTCATAGTAAATGTTGAGAGATAGACATTCGGCTAATAATGGAAATGGAAAGGGGCCCCTTAGTGTGCTATATAACCGAGTTGCTTGCTTGGAGCTTTGGGGGTTACTAAAGTACAAATAATAGTATGGGATTGTACTCTTGTTTCGGGAGCTGTGCTGAATCGAAGTCATGCTTCGCAAGGACGTAGAGATGAAAACTAGATCATGCAGTGCAAAAGTGCAAGCAAGAATGTGAAAGTGCAAAAATGTAAAAATGTAAAAGTGCAAAAATATAAAAATTACTTCAAATGCTAAACTACAGCGCAATGTGATTTGACTATTCATCACATCTTAATCAAAGGGTATTCTTCTCAATCCTTCATTCCCCATCCTCTTCTTCAATTCTTGTCCCGCCGCAACACTACTTGGCACCTTAATCCCACAGCAATCACCCCAGCTATTCATCTGATGAACATGTCTCATTCCATCCACCATAACCACTACTTCTCCTCCCTCCGCATCATCATCTTCATTGGGAACTCCGAATTCATCCTCTGTGCTCATGCCATCCTCGGCCGGTATCAATGATCCAAAGAGGAAATGTTGCATGACGGGTAGCTTTTTTAGAACCTCGGCCACAAACATTCTTCTCATGCCGTCTTCAACCTTTGTCCAGTTTTTCGCTGAGGATATGTCATCTAACATTGGGCTGTGCCATCGTAGTCCCTCCACATTTTTCACGCTATTAACAAAGTTGACTTGTCCCAAGTATAAATATTCGTTGCCATATTCTTCAAGTATAAGGTTTTGATGAATCGACAAAGGACGAATATGAGGATGATGTAAAAGTTGAGAAGCGCCAAAGAGGAATGGAAGAAATTGATAATCATCGAGTCCCCATACTCCGTGCGAACCTGCTGGCTCTAGATAATATGTTTTTTGTATGATTCTCATGAGATCCAAATATCGCGTGAAGACTTTCAAAACCAGAGGACGGAAATCTTGACGTGCCACTATGCCAAGTTGATATAGACATAATAACCAAATCATAAAGTTCAACTCATGTCCCGAACCATAATCTATTCTCGTGCGATTACCGAAAGCTTGTAGAAAGTACGTAGAGACTTCGTTGATTGCTTCGTCGGATGAAACTCCTAATTGTTTGTGCCATCCATTTTGCTCTTTCGTAGCTAAATCGAGAAAATCGCGGAAACCTTTGTTGCCAAATCTTGAATCGCCTTGTTCTTCCGGTGGACTTCTTCGTACCACATCTTCCACTTTGTCTAATATCTCGAGGATATTCGTGACAGTGGAGCTAAGGTCGGTATTGGTAATGGATGAGACAGGCACATCGATGACTGAGTCTGTTAAACCAAAGACAAATGCTAGAAGCAGTTTGTAAGTAGGAGATTGAAGGAAGATATCATGATCTTGGGGTGATAGGATTCTTCTCGAAGGCTTGCAGAACTTTAAGTTTGACTGTTTGGGAGGAGATGGGAGGTCTGGGGTTTCAGGGACAGGAAGAGGATTTGACGGTGGATTTCGTTTTTTTCGAGGTTCTAATTTTGGGAGACGATCTCGGAGATTGGGTACACCTGCTATAGGTTTAGTTTCTGAAGTCTGAGTGTTATTTTCTGGTATTGAAGGCATTTCTGTGAATGCTTGATATTGTTGTTGTTGTTGTTGTTGTTGATCAGACAGAATAAAGAAAGTGGTGGCATGATAAGAAGCTCAGTACCACCCCACGGTTAGCATCAAGGGACTTCGTTTAGCGCCTAATTGCGATTAGATAACAAAAAACTCCAAATCAATCTCAATATTGCTGATCTGCTTTGCTCAAGGTTTGAAAGATTTCAATCGCAATCACAATTCAACTCAACCTCTACACTCTCCTCCTACAGTACAAGATCAATATGGTCATTTCAATTGAACCCACAGCTTTACTCTCACCTCTTCCCAGAGCAGACGGTTCTGCCACTTTCTCACAGAATGGTTACACTGTTATTGGCGCTGTAAACGGTCCTATTGAAATTCAAAGACGCGATGAATTACCAGAAGAGGCGGCTATAGATGTTATCGTGAGACCAGCTGCTGGTGTTGGAGGTGTGTATATCTGATAGGATTATTGTTTGATTAACGAATGCTGGAACTGATTGTGTCTTAGGTACCCGTGAGAGACATCTTGAAGCAATCCTTCAATCTTCTTTGCGCCAAATAATACTCATCCACAATTTTCCACGAACCCTTATTCAGGTCACTTTACAAATCACAAGTACACCAGAAAATGATACTGCTTGGTCGAAGCTTGTACAGGCCAGCTCGGTAAGTGTGCCTTACCTTGTTCTATGATTAACTTATTAATGATTGTCCAGAACCTTCCCCTACTCCCAGCGCTCCTTCAAACATCCGTTCTGGCCTTATTGTCTGCTTCTATACCACTATCGATGACGATGACATCGGTACTACTTGCCTTGAAGAATACTGAGACAGGCACAACTCTTACAGAAAATCCTACCCCCCTCGAATGCCAAGATGCAGCTTCAGTCCATGTACTAGCATTCACATCACATGGGGAACTGCTGGTCTCTGAGAGTGAGGGAAGCTTTGATATGAATGAGTGGGAGGAAATATACGAGCATGCAAAGGCCTTATGCTGCAAAGGTCACGGATCGACTGAGGATGATATCATGCATGGGGATGGGCTTGAAAATGAGGCTAATTCAAGCCTCATGATGTTCGTAAAATCAACTGTACAAGAAAAGGTTGCTACCGACCTCCATTGGAAAGGTTGAAGCCGTTCCATCAATCTTACCGCTGTCATCCAAACGTGCTCGTAATGGGGTTTCATCTTGGGTACGGGAATGCCCACATGTCAAGAGCCATGCGAAGGCTGGGGCCGCATATCGACGAATTATGAACGCGATCTAAGTTGGGACCGAAACTGTTCTTCTGAGTATCAATCACGAGATATGTGAACAAACAACCTTGTCCGAGGCATTAAAGAATTTCTGCATCGGGTATCTGATACAAAATGTCAATATCCCCAGTACTCTTGGACGTTTCATCCTCCGTCGGCCATCCACACTGAAGGTAGCAAATTCAAAACGCTCGCGGGAGAGAATTATCACGAGTCGAATCAGAAGACGAAATACAGGAATTGCTCAATTGAGAAGAATTCAACTTTTGTGGAGGTAACTTTGGACCCTTTTAGGGTACTAGTACTCCGAACCTCAAAGTGATTAGACCAAATATATTACACTCATGCTTGCCAATACTGAGCAACTCTCGCCAGCAAATTCATCAATCATTGGGACACCTTTTTCAAATTTTGCTTCGCCTTCCCTTTTTCCCAGGCTCAATGTTCTGTGATATCAAACATGATTTTTATATCTTCGTACCTTTTGTGTTACTAGTTTTGCGGGTTGACTATGCTTAATGCTGACCTTGGACCTTGGGACCTTGACTGAAAACGCTAGCGTGACGGGACCAAGATCCTTTCGAGAATTCAAAACTCGCCTTCATATTTGACGATCATAGTGGAGAACAATATGGCAGCTGTAACCGGTCTGGAAGGTACAGCATAGCATAGCATACTATGGCATATAGCATTGCAAAGGCAAAGCAACAGAGATGTCGTATAAATGTATCTGGACTAGGCATGGTAACCAGATTAACTTTCTTCATATAGAAAGGGGAGTCCTGTCTGTGTGGTTTCCTCTTCTCTTCTCTCTCTAGTCTTCACTATCAGACCAACCTATCATTTCCAGTTCTCAGTTTCTTTGGCAAAGCTCCGGTAGCTTCTGCTTCTTTTTGTTTTTGTCTTGTTTTTTCAGTCTTTTGCTTTTAGACCATTGTTTTTTTTGCATATACAATACATACATTAATATTGGCTTGATATCTCATTTCTTCGGGCTTCAATTCGTGTCTCTTCCTCTCCTCCGAGCATCAATTCACATCTCTTCGATTTCTCTAAGCGATCAGTCCTCCACAGTTAGACGGAAGGCTTTTCTCAAGGCATATATTTATATCTTCATTCGCTGTCGCTACTTCTTACCCTTGAGCTTCCGTTCACCTGCACGCCTAATCACTATCACCTCGTCGAATAATCTTACATCTTCAACTCTTCCACGAAAGAAGGTCACGACGAGCTGTCGAGACGCAAGACGGCAAGACATATCACACAAAAGGGCTTGCAGAAAGCTTGAATTCGCTTATTATATTATAGCAAGGTGAGTCTATTTATTTATTTGTGGAGTTAAAGACGGGGGTCGTACATATTCGGTTTGAGATATCCCTACTGTGTCTCTAGGTGTGGGGAAGGGGAAGGAAACACAGTTTTGAAGATTGAGCAAGATTGGGATTGGTGGAATGCAGACTTTGAAATCGGAGAAGGCTGACTTATTGACCATAGTGAATGGCAATACCGGTATAGATTGATATCTCTTAATCTTGTCAGCAAGATTTGTGTTCCTTGACATCTATTTGTTGCATCCTTCTGCAACCTTTTACATCTTTCTTCTGCATCTTGCTGCATCTTCTCAAGCCAATCGAAGGGATCATATCTCCGCTGTATCCGACTCTATCGATTTGTCTGTGCCATCCACAAAAGAAACTCGAATCCACAATAGTCCGGCAACTACTGAAAGCAAAACGATTCCTTCATCTATAATTCAAATCCCCTCTCGGTCCCTTTCGTGCATTATTCCTTGTTCCCTCTTTTCTCCTCTTTCTCCCTCAACTCCTTCTATTACCTTCTATCTCCTTTCAGATAACTTATCGAGAACCACCTGCATTGCATTAACATTATCGACAATCTATTTATCGATTACTTATCCACCCAATCGATAAGAATAGATCAAATAAATATCCTTGTCTTGTCCAATCATATTCAAAGGTTCATCGGCATTTATGTCCGACTCCCGATCTCCGACGGAAAAAAGACTTCCGCCGGTACCACACCAAGAAGAACAATTGGTGTCATCGTCCATAATGTCCGACATTATTAACTCCCCTACTTCGATTCATCCTGCTCTTACTAAGCCCAATGAACCCCCAAAACTACCACAGACCGTATTTGATGAAGCTGTTACACCTTCAGTAACGGCACAATCCTTTTCGGGACTCAATGGCTTGTTTTCGAAACTTAACCCTGGGGATAATCTCCGACGCGAGCAGAATGTACAGTTTGGTTCTTTAAACGCAATCGAGACCAACTTCCCAGATAATGATCTATCCGAGTCATCCACTGACGCATCTACAACATTTTCTGCTGCGACAAGTGTAGAGAGTGACTCGGTTTCTGTTCCGTCAACACTTCTATTTCTTACTCCGGCTTTCCAGACTTCCCAGACTTCTCATAAGCACAGCAAGAACGCTCTGTCGGTCGATTCTATACCCCGCCAGACGATTATGAAAGCATTGGCTTCTTCGACAAGACAGCACAATCCACAAAACCTTTCTTTAGCAGACATGAAATCACCACATACTGATAGACCAGGGACTGCCTCATCGCAGAAACTCAATGCGGCGCTGTCAAATTTGGCACAACGAAACACCCCCTCGACGGCTCGATTTCCCTCTTTACAATCACCATGCTTTTATCACGAACGATTCGACGATGCAGTCAATATCGACAAAGTTCTTGAAGAAATCAACGGAGAACAATCAATGTCACATTCTCGACTCATTGCAACAGCTACGGGTGTGCGTGAAGTTTCTAAACAATTACAAAGACGTCCTATCAAGAGAGCTGTACGCAATGTTATGATTGTCACAAAGGCTAGAGACAATGAGTTGGTACATTTGACCAAGGATTTGGCATGTTGGCTTATGAGCACTCCACGATATGGCTCGGATCTTGGTGTTAATGTCTATGTTGATGCGAAGTTGCGCAACTCGAAGCGTTTCGGAGCAGCCGCATTGATTGAATCTCAACCTCGATTCCAACATATGTTAAAGTATTGGTCACCAGATCTTTGCTGGAGTCAACCGGAGAAATTTGATCTTGTTCTCACCCTCGGTGGTGATGGGACTGTCCTATTTACTTCTTGGCTTTTTCAACGTGTCGTCCCTCCGATTCTATCCTTCAGTCTCGGTAGTCTCGGCTTCTTGACTGGGTTCGAATATGATCGCTTCAAGGAACACCTAAACAAGATCATGGGAGAAGAAGGTATGCGAGTTAATCTTCGTATGCGCTTCACATGTACAATTTATCGGGATGGAAAAGAAGAAGGCCAGGATGCAGTAGAAGGCGAACAATTTGAGGTTCTTAACGAGCTCGTTATTGACCGAGGACCATCTTCTTACATCTCCAACCTTGAGTTATATGGCGACAACGAGCTCTTAACCGTTGTCCAAGCTGATGGATGTATCTTCTCGACTCCTACTGGCTCAACCGCATACTCATTATCTGCTGGTGGTTCACTTGTCCACCCAGATATTCCTGCCATCCTCCTCACTCCAATCTGCCCTCATACTCTTTCATTCCGTCCAATGATTCTCTCAGATACTCTTTTACTTCGTGTGTCCATTCCACGCAGCTCCAGAGCTACCGCCTATTGTTCATTCGACGGAAAGGGTCGTGTTGAGTTGAAACAAGGTGATCACGTCACCATTGCCGCCTCACAATACCCATTCCCAACCGTCGTCAGCTCTCCGTCAGAGTGGTTCGATAGTGTATCCAGAACCCTTAGATGGAATACTCGTGGCGCCATGCAAAAAGCTTGGGATGGTGGCGAAGAAAATAAAGAACAAGAAGTTGAATGGGATATTGATACTGATTCGGCTTGTTATGGTAGTGAAGAAAGTAGTCTAAGCGCAAGTCCCTTGAGACGACAAATGAGCATGCTTGGCATGTAAAGATGTTTTTTTTTGGTCTAGAATTGCTCTTTCCTGTTACACAGCTCGCGTTATAAAACATATACTTCATGTTGTATCATTTAATACCCTTTTATTTTACATGTAGTCCAAGATCAATCAGATTTGATGCGGACGTTTTACAGCTACTAGATGGCGTTGGTCTTGCAAATTAGGCGAATTGGCGTCAAAGATTTTAGATATAAATTTGAGATGTTAGTAGATGAAGATTGTTATGGATGGCTACATAGCTATGAATTAGATACGAATGAATATCATGTCTTTTGCTGGTCAATTTGTCGGTTGATATAAAATAAACTTGTACTGTATGCTTTTTTGAATTTTGAATTGTGGTTTCTGTTGATTCATTCATTAGTGCTGGTGATGTGATGTGATTGAGAGATATGTGATTAAGAGTGTGCTACTCGTAGTGATATGATATCTACTGATTTACTAGCGCTACTTGTTACTAGTAAGGTTGTAATCAAGTCAAGTACTATCGAGTTCAGTCAAGTCGAGTCTAGTGAGGTTATATCAAGTAATTATCAAGTCAAGCTAAGGTTATATCAAGCTTATACAGGCAAGTCAAGTTAAGTCACGTCAAGTCAAATCAAATAAGTGGTATAGTAAGTAGTAAGTAGATGAATGGATGGCCTGGGTAAGTATATATTCCTTAGTATAATATAATAGTATAGTATAGTATGAACGAATTTTGCACTAGCACTACCACTAACACTAACACTAACACTAACACTAACACTAACACTAACACTAACACTACCACTAACAATAGCAATAACAATAGCAGTAACAATATCAATACCACTACCACTAACACTAACACTAACACTACCACTACCACTAGTAAATATATAGCAATAGCACTACCAATCACAATACCCAATTTTAACCATTCGCAACTATATACTTTACTTGTTACTCACTTATTACTCACTTACTTGTTACACATTGCATTTAATGATTCATTCATACATACACTGTCTCACTCTTTCTCTCTCTCTCTCTCTCACTATCCACTACTCACTACTCACTACTCACTTCTCTCCCATACATCCACTCATTCCCTAGAATTACCCCCAAAAATAGCCTTTAGAAAGAGTCCATGCATGCATGCGAGAGAGGAAAGGAAAGTTTTGAATAGAGACCTCTATTTCGAAGAACGGCCTATTTGATTTGGTTTTATTTATTTTCCTACACTTTATGTATGTTTTGATACATAATGACATAATGTAATATATGTGGAAACATCTGCCCCATTTCCCTCCTTCCCTCCCTCCTTCCCTCCCTCCTTATAAGTTTGCCGATTCCCCTCGGGGCAACAGCTGATCCATCATCCATCATCCATCCATGCATCCATCAGAATATTATGTTATATTTTATTCCTCGTTTCAAATATCTAGTGAGAAGGTATATGAGTGGGAAATTGATGTGCCGGACATCTCTCACTCGTTATAATGGTAGACCTATAATTTTACATGTTAGTAAAAGAAAGAGCTTGTGATGTGACAATCAAAAATAAGAAACAAAGAACAAAAATACATACCTTATAATTAGGCAAACCAAAAGCACTCCAACCCAATCTCTTTGCCATCTTAGCAAATCCCTCCGTCTCAATCAAATGATAGAAAGCAAAAGGAGGAAACATGGCTCCATCACGATGGACCTCTGCCTTGACCATTAAAGCCGTTCCTCCCACTCCATCTAGTGGTACTTCCGTCTTGGCATCTCCAGAATCGGTGGCAAGATATGCCATCAATGTTCGATATGTAGCCATATCAGCGTACCCCTCCAATAGAATATCATCAGGACCCATGGAATCCCCGAGTTTTTGTGCAACGTCACTATCCTGCCAGCTGTTGAAGTCGTAGGCGCGCTCTGACATTCGTTTGTCTTTTGTATCGTAGTATCTCTGGAAGCAGTTGGGCACAATGATGGCTTTGTCGTGAGAAGCCAAATCCTGTATCAGAGTTGGAGGCGATTCAATAACATCCGAATCTAACCATAGAACCCAAGATACAGACGGTCCAAGAGTAGTAAACAGAAGGGAGTTTCTGGCTCTGGACATGGCAGATCTTCTAGCCTTTTGATTTTCCATCTTGTGTCTTTCGGTTTCGGATTGAGATGCAAGAGGTGGATCGAAGTCTTGTCGTTCAATAATGATACTTGCGAATCGATTCTTCTCCGGTCCGGACTTTTGTGTTTTGGTAACTTGCTCCTGCAACGCTGCCGTGGCAGCATTTCCTTCCTTATTCTTGGGGATGATGAAAGCGAGAGTAATAAGCTCATGCGGATACGAAAGCTTCAACAGATTATCCCAGTATCCTTGATAAAATCTTGCCAACGGTGTCAAAATGAGAATCATTTCTCGATTCCCCATAGGATCGGCGGTGCTGGTAACGTTATTCATATGGTAATGAACCACGGGCGGTGGTATCCGTTTACCACTTTTCGTAGCTTCATTTTGTTTGCGAAAGGGAGAGGTGGGTGGTGAGAGAGGATTGGATGCCGCGCTGGCTCTTCTTAATTGCGATGCTGCTGCGTCGGCGTTGGTTGGTGAGAATAGAAATACGAATATTATGATACATAAGACCACACCCACAATCAAAGTGAGCGGATTCGTACGCCGTAACGACCGAACTGGGCCCATGGCGCCGTTGTACTGAGAGAAGGGTTGTCCTCAATCGATAGTTTCGAAATTTTAAGAGCGCATCTGTCGATTCTTGAGTTACAGAGAAGAAGTTGGGTTTGTCGAGGTTTGTATGTATTCGGTTTGTGTTGTGCCGCAGATGGTAGAGAGATTAAAATTAGCCCAACAATCTCTTGTTGATTGGGTACTACCTTTCTAGAGCACTTCTAGAATTAGGATATTGCGTGAATTGGAAAAAGAGTGTGAAGTTCGGTTTGAGTTGAATGGATGGTCGATCTTTCGTATAAAGTTGTTGATGCGAACTGAACTACTCACTCTTGATGAACTGCGATATCATTGGCTGAATTCAGTTAGAGGATCATTTTAATGATCTGGACACGATATGAGAATTAAAGGGCTTACTTACGAGTAGGTACATACTGACTACTATATTATAAATCTATTCTTATCACAACCACTCAGAAGTTTCAGAACATCAGGAAGTACAGTAAAGTAATAGACAAGAGGATTAGTTGATATCAATCGTCTAATTGATGTTATAGGGGTACAATAACAGAGATCCTTCAGCCTACGAAATATACAATCGTAGTTTCTTCCATGTTTGACTATTTTAACTTTAAGGTTCTACTTTAGGCCCGTATATCTCTTTCTATAGCAATCCATAATATGAAGGAAATATCTAGTTCTAGATGGTAAAATATTGAAGTATAGATAACCATCTATTTTCCATCGTTGAATTGTATAAATATAACATCAATATGAGAATGGAAAAAGACAGGTTACAGATTTACTTTACAGTTAGATCTAATTATCAGGATTAATCCATAGTAAAAATGAATCATCTACGAGTAGTTCTTAACAATATAATATTGAAATATAGACAATCATCTATCTTCCATCATTGAGTTGTATGAACATCAATATGAGAAGTGGGAAGAGACAAGTTAAAGCCTCACAACTATCTAATTATCATGATTAATCCATAATATAAATGAATCATTTAGTCTAGACAGTACAATATTGAAGTACTCTTCAGTATAGACAATCAACTATTTTCCATCATTGAGTTGTATAAACATCAATATGATGATTGAATAAGACACAAATCAAAGCCTCACAATTAGATCTAAATGTCGGGACCTCCAAGACAATACCAAACTTCAACAATCGTGATGTTTCATACAGCCGTATAAGGAAGATTCTACTCTTATCCGGCCCCTCCCACCGGCACTTACTTATGAACGGCCCCCTTTAACCAAGAAGGATATTCGGAATTCCCAGTCTCGCTCAAACAATTTTCGGATGCCCGCTTTCAATGGGTTACCAATGGGTTACCAATGCAGGTCCAACTTTGGGAGAACGAAAGATCTCCTGTCGTTCAAAGTTGAGTTTTGTTAAGGGACTATTAGGTTTTAATGGGATGTGGCCCCTATTGATAGCATTCAACGGGCCCTTCGACTGCTCTGCTCCACGAGTGTTGCAGTGGCGAATGAAGGCGTTGAAGGGGTGAGCTGTGAGCTGTGACTTTCCGTATGTTATATCTTTGCTGGTCCCACGGATAGGAGTTCTTGAGTTGTTTCTTGATCGTTCTACTCGTATATCCTTCCGGATAATGATTCGATAGACCAACAAGGTAACAAACAATTCCTCACCTCGGTTTGAAAAACTTCATTGAATTCTGAATAGCACAAAGGAGAAGAGGCTCATCTACTCGTTATATCAATATCCGATCTTATGTGAAAACTGGTATGTCGGGATAACTTCATGCGAAAGGAACCAATGATTCAAGAATATCCGAATACATTTCTCAATAAATTGGGGAATTTAATACTTACTTACATTGAGCTACAGATTTCCAGATCTACCAAGCAAGTCAGTCAAGTAAAACGTGGTACAATCGATGGAATAAAACATCCACTTCTCCACGCTTTCTGGAATGCTGGTATCGAATACTTATACTATACTTATTCATGTACTAGACTAGGTAGGTAACGAGTCAGTAAGATCTTTGAGATATCAAGATTGAGTACTGTAGGTACTGTACCAGGCTACTGTACCTAGATTATGCAACGACATACATACCTGCAGTGAAAGGGGTAAGACCGTAAGAGAAGGGGGGGGGAGGGGGATTGAATTAGGGGGCTTTATGGCTTGCTGTGCCAATTAATTCCGGGTGGGTGGTACAAGTACCGAAGATCGATATCTTGATGCATGATACCGATACCGCGTGGCAGTTACATACAGGAACTACTGTACCTACCTAGTATGTATGTATATGTATGTATTTATGTATTTGCAAACAAATGATACTGACACTGCCATAACCGTTTGAGAGGTTTGAAAGGTTTGAAAGGTTGAAACTTAATGACTTTCGGGTACTCGTAGAAGGTACCTACCCTAGTAGTTGGAAGGGATGGAGATTCGAATTATCTGTGTCACAATGCAATGTCTACCGGGACCAAGCTGAATACCTAATGGGTTGTTGTTACCGAGGTCGATAAGTTATTGTCTGTAGCTATACGAGTAGATATGTTCTACAGAGTACCTACTGGTACATACATGATTTGATCTTAAGAAACAAACAATATGGCAAGGCAATGCTATCATCTATCCTTGAGTCTATTGATATAGAATCATTTGAATATTGATGCTTTTATAAAGATGGGGGTGAATCAATTTATATTTCGAGATTTAATTGGTTACTCTTGATCAGCCAGCTAAATGCTGTGTTTAGTCTTGGTTATGCTCAAATGCGTACAAATGAATTGTCCTTGTATCTATTTTGTGGAGTTAGATAGAGAGAGAGATTGAATCGTAGATCTAGGTAGAACACAACATTCACCCGAAATGGCCGCCTTAAATCAATACAATACTGATTAGATGGAATTGTGTGGCTATAAGTAACTAACTCGCTTCTATTCTAGACCTTAATATTAGAAGTACCCAAGTACTCCTCTAGTTTCATGTCTCTACTACAAGTATCCTCTAGATGTTTCCTTTACTGATCTATACTTCTATACTTTTGGTTACCTAGTACTGAGTAGTTCATTGATCTACTTCCCACCAAGGATAATATAAGTATAGCGCCCCTTACAAGAGGAACCCTTTTAACTTTATAATTGATAAAACCTCCGAAAAGAAGCTCTTTCCCTGAACAACTGAACAACTACCTAGGTACTAACTGGGTACTTACTGGGTACTTACTGAACGCGCCCACCCTTCATGGTTCATAAGAAACAAATCCCCAACTTTAATATGAACATGATGACATCCGCATGAGCATGAATGAGCATGAGCAATGAAAGCATGAATTGTACGAACCATATGTATAATACAGTATTAAAACCTTCGTTTAAAAAGAATACTAAATACTCGTACTGTACTGTACCTGTACTGTACCTACCGATTCACTTTTTCTCCCTTTTCCGTCCATCACTCCATCACTCAATCCATTCTTCAATTCTTCATTCCTTTGCGCTGGTATCGCGAACTTTCAAATCGCGAAAAACCACAGTAACCTTACAATACAAGTACATCAAAACAACATAGAAACGCCTACAACCAAACAACCAAAAACAATACATATTCACTTTCAGTCCCAACTTCCACCTTGGAATAAAGATTCAAAGTTAACAAATCTTATTTATTCGCTATCGATTTGCATCAAATTAAGAAGCAACCCGAAATATTACCTTACCTTTCTTTACATTACCTTACATTCACCACAACATCCGTTCCATGCCGTTATTGGGTCCTCTCAAAGGTTGCAGTTGCAGTAATCATGGAACCCGTGCCGGAACTCCACTCTCTTGAGGAATTCAGAGCTTCTCCAGTACCACGATTAAGATTACAAGAATCTGCTCTTTACGACAGTCAAACTCCAATCAAGGATCGAGAACAATCCGGTAGACCTCCGACTCTTCGACGAACTACAGAACCAATACCTCAATCACCTCGTTCCCCAGGATGGTCATCCCCTGTCACTCCTTCAATTCCTTATCGACCTCGGAATACTTCACCATATGCTCGAGGCCATTTTAGATCAAAATCAAACAGCAGTGCACTTGCCCCTCCAATGTCGCGAGCACAATCACTTCCAGGAGTAAATGGAGCTGGACATTTGCTCATGTCTCCTCAAAGACCTGCGAGTCCTTTGGGCTCACCAGCTCGAGTTCGCATACCTAGAAAACCAGCAGATGAAGTGTTTCCAGGATTTCCGAATCGTGCTTTGATTGACATCAGTGAGGGTGGCCAGTTACCTACAGAGGAGGATACTTCAAAAATATCGGATCGGAGTGCCTCACCAATCTTAGGTATACCTTCCACCGGTAGTTATACACGAGTACGAAGACCAGCTTCCCCTTTACGACATCTTGGCCCAACAAGTCCTTTGACTGGTGGCACAACACCCACGACACCATCCTCCTCGACTTCATCCCCTTCATACTACACAACGAAATTCAGCGAATCCTACCTCACCTCCAATAACTCTAGCAGTTCGTTGTATTATCCTGGTTCATACACATCTTCCTCTGTTCCTTCCACACCTACCTCTACCAGATCTCGCAGCCCGAGTATATCTAGCTTGGAAACAATACCCGATACACCAGATGCAGAAGAAGCTGCCCTAGAAGCGGAGAGGATTGCTCAGTTGAAAGCTGCCGCAGATGCCGCAGATGGAGTCGAAGGTGAAGATGCCAAATCAAGAGGACTTGACACTACTGGAGGCCGTGGTAGAGTTCTAGGAGGATTTGGTTCACGAGATAAGAGAAAACGCTGGAGTGTGTGCGGTGCGGAAAGAAGAGGTGATTTGAATCTAGATACCATTTGGGAGGATTGAGATTGTTGAATCACGATACCACAATCACGAATGGCCTACGAGAGTTTTCGATTTGATGAGAAGAACATGGTTAGAAGATATCAGTTGTTATGGGATGCGCTGTTCAAATTACACGGCTTCAGTACAAAATTCCGATTCGTCCCTGCTGTACTCCACAGCCAAACTGTCTAGATCTGCATATCTAGAAAAAACTGGAATACTGAAAGTCTCTCAGTATATTCCCTTGCTCATACATTATTGTACGATACCCCTTTAGCATTTCTGGGGGGAATGGGTTTATTTCCCAAGGAGCATTATATTTGGAGTATGGGAGAGGGGGGGGGTTTGGAAGCATTGCAGAGGATTATTTGATTTTTCCCAAACTGTACATAGGAACAACGCAAGTGGCATGGATTATTAGATTGAATGACAATCAGATGAGCTACTAAGAAAGGGCGAGAAGATTTGGTCAATGTGTTTGTATGTGAATTATGGTTTGCCATTACCTTACTTCGGTAAATTTTGTTCTCCCTTACGCTTTTCCACTCCCCCTTGGTAATATTCTTCCCCTCGCCTCGTCAAGAATATCATGTCCAAGCTACAAGGAGTAAGAACATGGAGGAAAGTATTTCTCATAATGGTTATAAGATGATGAGAATATCCTATCCATTGGAAATCGTGAAAAACTTGAATAGCTTGATCAAGTAGTCACGGTCTCTTCCATTCATTTATTTATTCATTTCAGTCGGTCGGTCGGTCGGTCGTTTTTTTTTTCGCTCTCTGCGCTTATTCTCGTGGATTTGATCTTCAGAATCGCATTAGCTCATAGTCTCATCAGCTCTTGTACCCATTTTAGAATTCTCATCTCGAGTCCAAAGGTCATCACGATGCAACTCCTCACTGTAGTCGGCGCCATCGCCGTACTATCCAACGTCGTCTCGGCGATTCCTCAACCTAACGAGAAAGTTGTATGTCAATGCAATTTCCTTCCTTCCTTCCTTCCTTTCTTTCTTTCTTTCTTTCTTTCTTCTAGTTTATTGATGTAAAAAATCAATGTACTAACAATTTCCAGGAGAACATCCAAGAAAAACGATGGAACTGGCCATGGGAATCCCATTCGGGAAAAGGTGGACATGAATGGGGTGATGATGATGATGACGACTACGATGATGATGATAATGCGGCGTCTTCGTCTCAATCGCTCTTGCCATTTACACATCCGCATCTGAGGGCTGAGGATAGGAGCATGAGTAGTGGGATCTCTAGGATCTCTATGACTACGCTGCTTTCGACCAGTTCCAGTTCTTTGATCGATGTCTCTACTGCTACGGATCTATGGAATTCGCTTTCGACAAGTTTGGGTCTCGCAAATAGTGTTTCGGTTACAATTTCGACTGTCACATATCCAATCCTATCAGCAACATCCGTCGTCATAAACACATCACCAACTTCCACTTCCACTGCCCTCGGACTCTCCATCTCAGGCGCCCCATTCTCACAACCCTCTATCATCAACAACATCTCCGACCCCGCCTCCCTCTCCCTCCCCCTCTCCCTCTCAACCACAACCTCAACCCTAATCAATATCCTCCCCCCACCCCAATCCACCCCCTTAACACTAACACTCTGCCCCGCAAACCCCACCAGCATCGTCACCATAACCGAAAATTGCACCCGCACCGAATGGATTACCGTTATCGCAAGTGAGGCGTGGACTACCACTCCTTTATCTACTTTTTCCCCCACGACTACCATGCCTACACCATCATCTTCTATTTCCGGTGTACCACCTTCGGGATTCCCTTCATCGAATAATGCTAATTCGACGGGTCTATGGACCGCGACGCCGAGTACGAGTGTGAGTACTAGTGCAAGTGCAAGTAGAGGATGGACTACGAGTGTTCAGTATAATACTAGTTCCTCGTTAGCAGTGGGAACGGGCACGGGGGTACTGGGTAGTGTTTCGATTTCAATTTTTAGCTCGAGCTCGAGCACTTTTGTCTCGAGCTCTTCTACGGCTACGGATAGTCTTACATATTCATCTTCTTCTGTTTCTTCAACCCTGACTTTTGAATCGTCATCATCATCGTCATCATCATCTTCAAGTTTCTCATCAACATCATCCTCAATCCCAGCATCCTCATCCTCATCCTCATCCTCATCCTCAACCTCAACCCAAGAATCCACCTCCACCACCCTCCTCTTCTCAACCACCACACTCCCCTACTCCTCTCCCACACTATCCTCCTCTCCCCCACCATCCTCCTCCTCCACCACCTCCTCCTCCCCCCTCATCTCCGCAACCCCCATCTCAACCGGCACCACCGATCTCCACCCCAGCACCACCGTCCTATTCACCACCACCGTCACCACCATCCAAGTAAGCGGAACCCCCAACCCCGCAGCCGTCCATTGTGGACTCCACGGATTACCTGTTGGGGATTATTTTCTGGCCGAGTTTGTCGAGGATAAGTCGGGTGTGCCGGTTAGTTTGAGGGGGTGTTGGGAGTTTTGTCGGGTGAGTTTTATTTTTTATTTGTATTTTTTCCTTGAGTTTCTTCAGCATTCCTAAATTACCCCCCCCCTATACATACGAGTACGATATAAATACTAACTTCGATATTTTCCACACAGGGCGTATATGGAATAGATAAAGGATGTGTAGCCTATTCATACTACCCAGAACCAGGAACAGGCGCTCCCAGATGCGATCTTTTTGGGGGAAGTGTGGCGCAGAGTTTGGATAGTATTATTCCGCAGGTGCCGAATGTTTGGTTTGATTTGGAGTGTGGGCATCCGAGGTTGATTGTCGTTTGATGGGTGGATGGTGGATGGGTGGTGGGTGGGAAAGATGTGAAAGAGAGGGGAGGAATTGTAAGAAGGGGGAGAAGGTATGGGGAATATGATGGTAAGGGGTGAGGGATGAGGTATGAGGAGGAAGAAGAGGAGTAACAAGGAGGAAAGAGGAGAAAGGAGGAGGAAAGAGTGAAAGATGAAGAAATGGAAGGAAAGAGACGCCATATATTTCGTAATAGTAGTATCCTGTTTGTTTTTCTATTCTTGTTTTAATTAGAGGTTGTTATGTTATGTTATGTCATGTTATAGTTAATTCATAGACTCTATTTATTTATCTATCTGTCTATCTATCCGTCTATTTGTCTCAATTTGAAGTTATACTAGATAGATATATACTCGAGTATTATGTACTCTTTAGAATAACCAGGTATATCAATCGAAGCTGAAGTTACTTACTCGTATATCACGGTATATTCAATTAGATTGATTCCTTTTCCTTTATACTGTATGCGCAATCATTACTGTAACAATGCTTCTTGGCAAACAATAATCGATCGCATCTAAGCGAGTTATGTACTCAGGGGGGTCTTTGAAGAGGGATACACAAAATCAAAATGGCTATTATTAGCTTATTTTTCTATATAAATTTATATAGTTTTGAAAATCTTATTTATTAGCTATTTCTTTATATAATAACAAAAGAATTCTTTAATTAGACTCATTTTAAGCTAATAATTATAAATTGAAATAGTAGAGTTTTAGATTTCGATGATTTTTATTTTAAATTTAAAATAAAATATTTATAATATATTTTTGAATTAGATTTTTGGAAATATAAGGAAATTAGCTCTAAATTTTCGATTAATACTTTTATTTTTCTGATATTCCTATTATTTTCGTAAATATTATCAGATAGCACTAGAAAATCCCATATTTTGAAGTGATAAATTCGGTTATTTTGCGTACCCCTCTTCAAAGACCCGCCCGAGTACACACGTGTATAAGCGTCCTGTATTCACCTACGTCATTTATCAATATCCGAAATCATGAATATGAATCACGATATGCGAACTGTAGTAGGTGGGTGGTTGGTATAAAGAAATAAGATAAGACTATACCTAATAAACTAGAAAGTAATACAGTACTGCCATACCTACTCAAGTACAGTACAGTTCCTAAGCTAGATAGATACACAAGTAAGTAATACTGCCGTACTGTACCTACTCTACCTATCTACGTACCAACAGTTTAGATACTTAAGAACATCAAAGCTTGGTTTTCTCCTGGGTTTTTTTTTGTTATCAATACAATACTCTCAAGACCGGTCGGTAACAATCTCACGAAATACCTATCATACACATCAACAGAGAAATCATCCAAAAGTTCAACAAATCCAAACCAACTGGTTCACGTCACGTCAAGTCACGTCTTTCGAGTTTTTGTCTTCTGGTTTCGTTTGTTCGATCGGATATCAATATCAGAAATCGGACCACAAATCAAACCATAAATACCACTCACTTATTTACTCAGTGCTTATCAAACAAAACAAAACAAAACAAAACAAAACAAAACAAAACAAAACAAAACTGACCTCAGACTTTACTCGGTACATTTGACAACTTACAATTCTTCAAGAAGTCTTCAACATCCTCCTATCCAACCACAACCCAATCCAAAACAATCCAATCCAATCCAAAACCAAACCAATTCAACCCAACAAAATGCTCTTCATAATCCGCAATCCACAAATCTACTTCACCAATATCGCTCTCTGGATATATTTGATATTGCAAGCGGTCGTTTTGGGGTTGATTGTTACGAAGTATGCTATGTGGTTTTGTGAGTATTATTATTGATGTTATGGCTGATGAATTGAGAGGGCTGACATATGGGTGATGTGGGTGATGTGGGTGGTATGGGTTGATTTGGGTTGATTTAAGTTGTATGTTTGTGGGGATATTTGTTGGAGGAGGGGGAGAGAGGGAGGAAAGCGGAGAGCGGAGAGGAGGAGAGGAGGAGAGGAGGAGCGGAGGAGGGGTTGTGGATTCTTTTGGCAGTGGACTTGAGTTTTGCGGAGTCTGGGGTTTGTGGTTGGGTAGTGCTGCGTATGTTAGGGGGAGGGGGATGGGGGATATGTGGAGTGGAGGGGGTTAAGGGATTTAAGGGAGTTAAGATGGATGGGATGGTTGCACAGGGCAATAGTTATGGTTATGGCTGGGATGTATGGATGAGATCGGGATGGGATCGGGATGGGAAATAGGTATGCATGGAAATGCAATTAGGAGTAAATGGCAAATATTAGGATTCTAGGGTACAGGCTACATGCGAACGGGAAAAACGACAGGCGATGACCAAGTTATCTATTAGTCTGTCTATCATATTCGGTGTCTAAAGGCATACGGACACTCGGGGATTTTAATAGGCTAATCAGAGAACATATCACAACAGCGCAATAACCAAATAGTTGCAAAGTATTGATGTTGCTGAAATAGAGTTGTCTGTTGTGTGAAGTGAATTCTGGATGTTATGGTGAATAATGGCTGAGGATTTATGAGTTTGCTGTAGTGTGATTCTGAAGTTGAAGTTGGCTATTATATTCAATTCTTGAAAAGGTTATCTTCACAATACCACTAGGCTACTTGTATAGAGATTTAAAGCACTATTCATCACAAATAACTTATAAGCCGTCATAATATCGCATATTGAACATAGCCGACGTCACAAGCTCTCACGACCATTGCATTTGAAATTTCATCTAATGATCTCATAAATGTTAGATCTTGTTCAGATTTTGAATCTATCTATTAACCACCCCTGTTAGCAAGGTAAGAAAGAGTAAGGGACCTCAATATAGGTACTCGGTAGTGTACTAGTTATATAATAACCGAAGGAATGTCACATGCAAATTAAGCCATTGAACTCCGCGTATAATACAATGTTAACTGCATAAGACTGTGAGAAGATGGCAAGATGACAGGAAGGAAGGGAGTGGGGAGAAAAGGATAGAGAATCAGAGATGGAGAAAAATAGAAGGGGGGGGAGAAAATTATGCGAGGAGAAGAGGAGAAATGGAGAATTGAAGAATATATCAGGCACTTGTCAAATCTTCAATGTAAGAATAAATAGTTGTACATTCTCCTTGAGAATCAATAATCATGTTTTCAGTATAATAATCAATCAATCAAAGTATCCCCTCAAACAAATATCAACCAGCGTATCAAAAAAAGAAGCAATTCATCTTCCAACAATATAGCAACATGGAATCTCGTAACTATTCCATCCTTCTAATGATAAACTCCATTATATATGTGCTTGCCGCCCTTCTACTCATGATACAATATGTCGGAACTCGCCAATAAATAACTGCCATGCAGGTCGATCGAGAAATTTAAACTTTAGACAAGCATTTTGGAGTATTTTCAATGATATTCTAGGTCTGTGATTCTGGCTGGTGGGGAATGTTGAGAATCTGAGTTGGGTTTGCTGATACCGGTACATTTTCTGGTACTTTGGAATGCGAGTTGCTTACATCAGGAGGAATTATCATATGATGCGGCATATAGAGTATTGCGATAGATGATATATTGATTGCCGGCTGCTTGATTGTAGTGGTAAGGAGGGTAGGGATTTATGTTGGTATGGAATTGCTTTTGTGGATAGAGAGGGTTGGAGAGCTTTTCTGCTGTTGGGGAGTGCCGATGGACTACTCGAGTATAATAGTTCATCTTGTTTGTGTACTAGAGACCTTTGAAGATCCTCGGGAGAATAATCAGATGATCATACTCAAACAA